TACCTATTCATAGTCTGGATAATGTTGAATCTAATGCTCAAAATGACGAGCAACATGATGATGTTGATAATCAACAATTTGGAGATAGTGTAAAGGTTTCGATTAATGATACTTAAGAGAAACATAATGATATACATGAATTACCACAAGTCCCTACCAGGAGGTCCAATAGGTTGAGAAAACCGTCTTCCAAGTATTCTTTTGATAAGTATGTAACTTTGATTGATGGTGGAGAACTTAAGTGTTTTTAAGAAGCTCTGGAAAGTGGAAAAAAACAAAAGTGGCTGGATGCATTACAAGATGAGATGAAATCTTTGGATGAAAATCATACTTATGACTTGGTAAAATTATCTAAAGGCAAAAGGACTTTAGAGAACAAATGGATTTTCAAGGTGTAGCAAGAGACTAATTCTACATTTTCAAGGTACAAAGCCAGATTAGTGGTGAAAGACTTTAGACAAAAAAAAATTGTGTTGATTTCAATGAGATCTTCTCACCTATGGTGAAAATGTCATCCATTATAATTGTGTTAAGGATAACTGTTACACTTGATTTGGAGATTGAACAAATGGATATAAAGATAACTTTCATTCATGGTAATTTAGAGGAAGAGATTTATATGAAACAACTTGATGGTTTTCTTGTTGAAGGCAAGGAAAATTATGTGTGTAGACTGAGAAAAAGTCTATATGGTTTGAAGTAGGCTCCATGACAGTGATATAAGAGTTTGAGTCTTTTATGTGTAATCAAGATTACAAAAGGACTACTTCTGATTATTGTGTCTTTGTTAAAAAGTTATCTGATGATGACTTTATTATCCTGTTGTTATATGTTGATAACATACTTATTATTGAGAAAAATATTTCCAGAAATGACAGGTTAAAGAAGCAGTTGAGTGAGTCATTTGTTATAAAAGACATGAGAGTTGCTAAAAAGATACTTGACATAAGCATCTCACGTGATAGAAGTGAAAAGAAGACTTAACTATCACATAAGAAGGTGTTGTAGAGATTCCAAATGGAAAATGCTAAAGCAGTGAACACTCTCCTCTTGCAACTCATCTTAAATTGAGTGTTAAATAGAGTCCTTTAAATGAAATTGAGAAATCTTATATAAGTAGAATTCCTTATGCATCTGTAGTAAGCAATTTGATGTATGCAATGGTATGTACTAGACTTGATGTTGCACATGTTGTTGGTATAATCAATTGTTTCTTGTTCAATTCAGGTAGGGAGCATTGGAATGCTGTGAAATGGATTTTGAGATATCTTCATGGTACTAGTGTTTTGAAACTTTGTTTTGGAGGTAATAAACCCATTTTGATGGGTTACTCATACTCATATATGACTGGAGACATTGATTCTAGAAAGTCCATTTTGGGCTATTTGATTAAGTTTGCAGGGGGAGTTGTGGCTTGACAATCAAGATTACAAAAATGTGTAGCACAATTGCTATGGTTGAAGAAATTCTTGAAGGAGATTGGTTTTGTGTAGCACAATTATCCATTATTTGTGGACAGTCAGAGTGTTATTCATATTGGTAAAAATCCAACTTTTCATTTTAGATCCGAACATATTGATTGAAGTTATTATTGGATACATGATACTTTGGATACTAAGTTGTTGGAGTTATATATAGTGCATACAAATGACAATGACGTTGATATGATGACTAAGACATTGTCAAGACATAAGTTTGAAACTTGCTATAAGATCACCAGATTGTTGATTACCTTTACATAGTTGTGAGGGGGAGATGTGTTGGGTTAGACTCCCAACTATGTGTCTAAAAGGTCTTAATTAGTCAAACTCATTTTATCTCACTTAACCTAAGTGGAGAGGGGTCTGTTAGGTCAGAATAGAGAGAGTATTTCACAATCCTTTGAAAGAGAAAAAGAAAAAAAAATAATTTCGCTCATTTACCAAGCTGTCTCTGTAAAATTAAGATTTTCATATTATTTACCTTTGGACCGGGCTAAAATTTTGACAGTAGATTTGCGAAGTAAGGGTCTTTATTTTGACCGTTATGATCGTTAATTAGAGGTCTATGATTGAAGATATCCGTCTCGCATTGTGACTGATTTTTAAGTTTCTTTTCGTTGTTCCTCAATTTGAGAGGACTGTTGTTTTGATATATTGACTGTTTTGTAGACATTTATTTGTGCATTTTACTTTTGATCTTAAAGCTTGATTGACTAGCTTGTACCCGTAGGTTTTACTTCTCTTATTGAGGAGGTTTTCCCACACTAAAAATAGTTATGTTTTTTGCTGTGATTATTTCTGCCATTATCTATTGTTGTTCCTCTTCACAGATTGTTGCAAGTTTAGAAAAATTATTTCCGTTGCATAATTTGATATTTTAGGTTGTTGTGTTCCCTATCAACTCTACACCGAAAAAGACAAACAATATTTCAAGAACTGAACTTGTCTTTGTGAAACCCTATTCCTATGCTCGTTCATGTCTATATATAAAGATTATGATAAAAATAACATGAATAATAGTTAAGATCACTACTATGTATATATACTTACTATGTATATATACTCGCATGTATTGCTTGAAGGTATAATGAATCATGATTTATGAATATTTTTCCATTCATGACCTAATACTTGAGTAGAATACCATTTTGTTATCATGAGAGGGCATTAGTGATCCATTTCACATTACCTTTATAAAAACCAATGAACCTTAATTCATTTGACTTTTATATTTTTAATTTTTTCATCAATTCAAATTCAAGCATAATAAATTTTACTCCAATATAACTTTATCTTAACAATAATTTATCTTGAAAATTTTAGTTAATAGTATTAAAAGAAGAGTCAAATTTTGATAGAATGAATCTTAATAATAATATATTTTAAAAAAATTTATTCAAATAAAATCTATATGAATTTATTTACTCAAATAGATATGATCATATGTAATTTTTTTCTCTCCTAATATTTTTTTTTTAAATTTGTTTCTCTTTCTTCGTTCACTCTTTATCTTTTTTCTCTCTATCTTATGTCTTTTATTTTATTTTTTTCCTTTCTTCTCTTGCTTATTCTATCAATTAAATCGGGGATGATAAAACAGATTAGTCAGTCTCGTTTTGATCCATCCCACTTCTAGTTCATAAAAAATAAAACGAGATAGACTAGTCCACCATAGTTAGGACGAGCTACGGACCCCAACCCACACCATCAAAGGACGAGACAGATCAGTTAATAAATTTTTTTATATAAAGATTTATATATATATATATATATATATATATTTTAAATATATATTTAATTATATGAATAGTTTTTAAGTTTTTATTTATTAATTAATATTTTTATTAGATAAATTAAAAAATTATTATATTTATATGTTAAAATAAATAATTTAAATTTAATTAATTAATTTTTATGATTTAAATTATAATATTATAATATATTTAGATATTTTAATAATATATAAAAAATATTTTTAAATATAATCATATTTATTTTTATATATAAATATTATTTTAAAACAGAGTTAGCAGGCTAACCCTTCCTACCCTGTCCTGGTATTACCAAATTAGTGGGTTGGTTTGAACGGACAAAAATAAGTTGATAAACCATTAATTTATCCCATTTTCTTTTTAGACAGACTAACAGATTGATCTGTCGAACTTAACCTGTTTTGTTATCCTAATTAAACTACAATATTAAAATTTATAAAAATGTTAAAAAAATTATTTTAAAAATAACATTGAAACTAAAAGAATATTATCTAAATATTTAAAATTATGATCTGTGATAATATACAATTTTATTTACAATGAATTAACTAATTAATTTAAAATTATTTTATTATAATAAATAATTACTTATCTAATTAAAAAATATGAAATATTTATAATTTAGATGTATTTTTATTTAATGATTTAATATAATTATAATTAGATTTAGTTATGATAATTAGTTAGATTATGTATTTTAAAAAATATTTATTAAAATTAATTTTAAAAATAAATATTAATTTTTTTAATAATTATAAGATAATAATAATATTTCAAACATTTCAAATTTATCATATAATATTTTAAATTATAGTATTTATAGATATTTAAATATTTTCTTATAATAATAATAAAAAATTTACGTTATCAAATTTTAATATATTATTTTTAATTAAAAAATAAAATAGAGTGAAAAAAATAAATAAATAAATAAAGAAAAAAATAACTATTTATATCAAATGAATTTATTTCTCTTTATTAAATTATATGTTTAATTAATAAACAAATTTAATTAAATAAATAAATTTTAAAAAAATCTATTTAATTAATTTTTTTAAGTATAATATTTATGATATTGACTATTTTTCACCTTAATTTCATTTTAAAAATGCAAATCAATAATTTTTTTCTCTCAATCCATTCTCTTAATTTTAATCTTTATTTTTTATTTTAAAATCAATTTTGATTTTCCTTTCTTTAATGTATACATTTGCTTCTTTTATTTTAAACAGAGATGTATCTCTATTTTAGACAATCCACAGTTTTATTTTATTTTTTAAATAAATTTTGATTTTCCTTACTTTAATGTATACATTTGCTTCTTTTATTTTAATTAAAGATGTATCTCTATTTTAGACAATCCACAATTTTAATTAAAAATTTATATATAAATTTTAATTCAATGGCATTTAGACTTAACATCATAAGTTATTCAATCAATTAAGATATAATAAAAATATATAGACAAAATGAATGATTATACCAAAATTTGAAATTTTATAAAATAACAATTAAATATGTATTTAAAAATAAAAAGGCTAAAAATTGTATTTAACGTATTCTTTGTAAGTCAAAATAAATAGAGAGTGACGTACGGTACGTACCACAGGTGCGGTTTATCGCGGAAACATACTTTGCTCCTCCTAATCGGAGACTGAACCACAGTGTGGTCGAGAAGAGAGACACTTTCTTGGTTAAAATAAAGTATAAGATAGCAGGGAATCCCCAGTACGACATCGTTTGTTGAATGTTCAAGGGCGTTCTGAGAGCGCGCTCGCTTGTTACAACTCAAGTGCTTGTTGAAATAAAGCTTTTCGCAACTGAAATTTTTTGAAGCCAAAATCCAAAGAAGATTGAAACCCTAAATTGCCGAATCTACAGGGTAGCAATACGAACTGCGTCAACACTTACCGTTCTCGAAGTCCAAATATGGTATGAGACTAACTTTTTTGTTCTACGCATCTTGGTGTCATCGTCGTTACTCGTTGGTTGCTACTTGAATTTGCAGTGTTGAATTATTCATTCTGATTAATAGCTTTGGTTTTGTCTTTTTAGTTCTCAATTGCAGCTATCAATGACATTGACTCCAAAAGTAAGTGGGAACCACTAGCCCCCACGAAAGAAGCCCAGGCACGTTTCTTTCTCTCCTTATTCCTCTTTGAGCATAATGAAAATGTTAAGCACGTCTGAGAGTTTTGCTTAGGTTACAAAGATTAGGATTCTTTGAACTCCTAATAGTTCTGTTATTTGTTCGTGTATGTGCTGTTGATGTTGTTTCTAATACAAATTCAAGTTCTACATTATCATTGTTGATTTCATTATTATTTTTTGTTTATTTTTTCAGGAATTTCATCTTTCTCAAACTTATCATGACGGGCTGCTCAAGCTGCAAGCAAAAGAATACGAGAAGGCTCGCGAGCTCTTGGAGTCTGTCCTTAAAGATCCTCTTATTGCTAATGCGCAGGTTTTAGTTTTTGGATAGTACATATTTTGTACAATCATTAATTTCATTTTGAATTGGTGGTTTGATGTGTTTCCTGTTATCAGGTGAATAGCAGTGCCAGTGATGGTCATCTATTGCAACTCAGGTGAACTATTAAGATGTCCATTGTTCTGTCATCGTTGTTTGCTCATAGTCTCCTCATCAATTTTTGACGAGCTTAGTACCTATAGGCATGATCAATTAAATCCAGAATGAATTAAAATAACTAGAAAGTCTGTGCTAGTTTTTTATAGTTATTTTATAATTTTGATATTTTAGTTGAGACTTTGATTGATACTGTGCTCATACAAGAATTTCTCCCTTTCAACTTCTAGTCTATTAAAGTAACGCTTCGCATGAATATATGCGTTGCAATAAACTCATTTCTCCTTAAGTTTTAGGGCGCTTGGTTCTCATATCAAGACAATTCTGTCACTATTTTTTATTTTCATGAAGCACATCACTGGTGAAGCTAGTTTTAAAACTATCCTTTCAAATCGTAGTTAAACAAAATTGATCTTAGTTTAGTTTGTATCATGTAGGTAAACCTATATGCACTTTTCTTGTATTTGTTGTTGCACTTTTGCATTCTTCTGTCTACGTAAGTTATCAATTTGCTTGCAATGCTTCGGATTCTATGCTGGGTCCATTCAATATCAGCTCATCATTGTTGAGTGGTTTTGGTTAGGGGTAAATTAGGTTTTGTAACAAGTGTTTAATCAGTTGACCTGTTGTATATGAAAGTTCCTTTAATGTAATGTGAATTTGATATACGGTTGAATATTTATATCTCTGTATGAGTGTTTCATAGTACTTATGCTTCTACAGATTTTTGGCATTGAAAAACCTTGCTGCTGTTTTTCTTAAGCAAGGTTCCACATATTATGAGAATGCTCTGCACTGTTATCTTCAAGCTGTGGAGATCGATTCTAAAGATTCTGTTGTTTGGAACCAGCTTGGAACATTGTCGTGCTCAATGGGCTCACTGAGTCTTTCACGTTGGGCATTTGAGCAAGGCCTCTTGTGTAGCCCTAATAACTGTAAGCACCTTAATAAATCATTTCTTTTTTCTAATGGCTAGTAATGGAGTGCTTCTTAGTTTTTCTTCTATGTGAAATTCAGTTTTTTGTTTACCTTCTTGGGTTATCTCTACCCTTCATGTGTCCCAGTTGGATGTCTTTGAATGAACTGTTTATCAATCTCATCATGTGTGTATGAGCATGTTTGAATCGAAGTGAGGAGTGACTTCTGCACTGTACAAATGCACTTTGAACTGGAGAATTGCTTTTGGCATATTTTTCTTATCAATTTTAGCCACATAAGTAAATTTATGTCTTTTGAGCAGTGTGAACTGCCATTCCATCAGAAAGAATATTTTGTTGATTCTGTCTGAGTGAATGGACATTCAGCAAGGATTGATTTTGATGTATTTTGGCTTGTCATGTCACAGATATGTTGTCATTCATAGCATTTAAATGCTAATTTAAAATTAAACTTTGTTGTCAAACTCCTTTTTCAAAAGTATTTTTCATCTAATATCATACAAGGGTAACTAGAAAAAAGGTATCGCAATACTTGGCCAAATAATGAGGTATGGGCAGGAACAAACATGTGTATCCATTTACCCATGTGAGCACTGGGACCTGAGTTTGAAATTTATTGTAACAAAGCTCATCCTTACCACAGAAGACTAGTTTTGCTTTTTTTTAAATCACTTTAAATATTCATTTTAAACAATTAAGTTCACCCTTTGAAAGTTTTTTTCAAAATACCTTCCTTTCAATATTAATCCTATGCCAGTTATGCAAACATGCTTATATTATGTATTTATGCATGTTATCCCTGCTGTCTCTACAGGGAATTGCATGGAGAAGCTTTTGGAAGTTCTTATTGCAATTGGTGATGAGGTTGCTTGCCTTTCTGTTGCTGAATTGATTTTGAGGCACTGGCCATCACATTCTCGTGCTTTACATGTTAAAAATACCATTGAAGAATCAGAAACTTTGCCATTTGCTCCAAGAGGCATAGACAAATTGGAACCTAAACATGTGCGACTCAAGTTTCCTGAGAAGAGAAAAACTACTAATGACAATGCAGATGAGGATGTTGCATTCAAAAAGCTGAAACAGAATAAAGAACTGCACCTGACAGAAGTTTCCTGGCTGGCTCTTGCTGATGCACTCCTGGAAATCTTATCACCACAAAATTCTGAGATGGATCCTGAAAAAGCATTAACTTCTCCTGATATTAAGCTAAGCATAATCTTACCACATAGCTCAGAAGCTGCTATGAGCCCTGTGGAAATGAAAGGGTCCAATGGTGAAAACAGTGTTTTTAGTGATGGTAACATAGAACGATCAAGTGTGTTTAAAGAGAGAGAAACTAATACTCATGAAGAACAGCCACATGAAAGGAGAAGTTCTCGACTTGAAAGGCTTCGAAGTCGTAAACCAGGAAAAGAAGAATCTGATTCTTCTTGTGGCAAAGACCCTACTAAGGTTGTCATTCAATATCTAGAGCCATTTGTTGCTGGTGGATTACGGGATCAAGATGCAATTGATAGAGAGACTACAGCACTATCTTGTTTAGGAAATTCTGAATACTATAATGTTTCTGTATTTGTGACAGAAACATCAAACAATTATGGTGCTTATCATATGGGGCACATGCTTTTAGAAGAGGTTGCAAGACAAGGTCTCACATATCAAGATGCTTTTGTCAAATTTCTTGAGTTGGAAAAGTTGACAAGGCATTGGGGAAAAGAGAGAACGGCTGAATGTAATATTTTTCTTGCTGAGCTGTATTATGACTTTGGATCATGCTCTCCTGGTTCTAATCAGTCAGAATTTTTTTCTGAGACATCTTACCATCTTTGTAAGATCATAGAATCTGTAGCTTTAGATTATCCTTTTCACTTGACTAATGCCTTGAATGAAGGTTGTTTTACGATAGATAGTATCCAAGAGATCAGTGGGAAAACGACAATAAATACCTCCACTGACAATAATGTAAATTTGGACAGCTCAATTTTGATGAAAAACAATTCCCTCTGGGCTCGATTTTTCTGGCTTAGTGGGAGATTGTCTATTGTTGATGGCAACAGGGCAAAAGCTTGTGAAGAATTTTATGTTGCTTTGTCACTTTTGGGACAGAGAGAAAATATGGAAGATTCTCTCTGTTTGGTCCCCCGCCCACATTGCAAGGCTGTAAAAGAGCTAAACTTCGATAGAGTTCTTGATGAAATTAATATATTAAAGGTCAATTTCTTGATGGAGAATTCTGTCATTAAAATGATGGAGCATGAAAAGTATTTGGAGTGTGTATCCCTGCTATCTCCACTTTTGTTCTCCACACGGGATGTCTACCCTGATTCATTCTCTTTATCCATGGCAAATAAAAAAAATGAAAAGATAACTTCCACTGAGCTCATGGCTGTTGATGTTCTAATGGAAGCATGTCAAAAGACAAGGCCAATGGATGTGGAGATGTATTTCAATTGTCATTATAGAAAGCTGAAAATACTTATGACAAAGATGGGTTTAAGTACATGTATTAAATCATTTAAATCCTCGAATCAAGCACCTCATTTAAATGCATCTCCTAATTTGGATATTGATTCAAAGGAAAGTTCCAGCAAGCACTGTAGTCACTTGGTTGTGGATGAAGTGAAGGCACTCTCTGAATGTATCTCACAAGTGAAGAAAATTATTGATCATCGTGGAGATTCTGTAAGCAATATCATTTCAGTAATTTTGGATTGTAAGATGTTATAGCCATGAGCCATATTTCTTAGGAATTACTTTCCTGATCATACATGAACTTCATGAACTATATATGTCATTCTCCTTCCTGAATTATACCTCCTGGTTATCTATTATTAACCTAGTAACGAAAATCTAGATATGGTATTAATTGCTCCGATGTGAATAAACATCATTGTGTCATTGACATCATATACTAATTTTATGTTGTATTGTAATTAAAAAAGGCTTATTCTTATTGCTTTTGTTTTGTTTGCTTATGGATATTTTATGCTCACAGATTTCTCGTAGAAATACAGGAAATTGATGAGCTCTATGAATTTGATGAGGTTTTTGGCTTTTTGTCCTAATTCTTCTTTCCTATGTCTTAGAGCATGGTATTTTTTAAAACCCTCTGAAAGTCTTCTTTTTTCTGCCAAACCAGAAAAAAGAAAGGAACCAAAATTACTGTATTTGATATTGTAACTTTGTTCTTCTATTATCATTGATTATACTAAAAGATAGTGATATCTTTGACCTGGATAGTTTTACTGGAATCTTTTGCCATAAATAATTGGGAAGGCCTTTTCAAACATAGCTTAGCCTTCATGAATATCAGTTATAAAAATGACGATTTTTTTATTCAATGTATTTGGGGTTGATAGGCATTGGATTCTTTAGTGTTATTTTCAAACTCTGGAAAATTAGATTAACTGAAATATGATTTTTATTATATCAATACAAAGAGATGATATAAGATATATACAGGAGACCTAAGCTATTTTAGGAAATATAATAACTCTATTTTATGCTAGGATCCCTTGATTTATGGGATTGTTCCTAATTATTCAAATCTGTACAGATTACAAGGAAATATACAAATTTCCTGATTTATTCTTTCCTAAAATACTATTTGATTTCCCACACTCCCCCTCAAGCTAGTGAATAGATGTTTTCCATTCCCAGCTTGGATACAATCTTCTCAAAATTATGGCAGCCCAATCCCTTGGTAAGAATGTCTGCAATTTGGTCTTGAGAGGACACATATGGAGTGCATATCAAGTCACTATCAAGCTTTTCTTTGATGAAGTGTCTGTCTACTTCAATATGCTTTGTTCTATCATGCTGCACTGGGTTGTTGGCTATACTGATTGCTGACTTATTATCACAATAGAGCTTCATAGGTTCTTCCCACTTTATCCTCAAGTCTTCTAAGATGATTTTAAGCCATAGCAACTCACATATACCTTGTGCCATGGCTCGAATTCCGCTTCAACCATTGGACCGAGCCACTACACCTGCTTTTTGCTTCTCCAAGTCACAAGATTTCCTCCAAGAAAGGTGCAATATCCTGTAGTTGACCTCCTATCCACAATTGACCCTGCATAATCGGCATCAGTATAGGCTTCAAGCTTCACATTACCATTCCTTTTGAATAGAATCCCTCTTCCGAAGTTCTTTTAAGGTACTCGTAAAATTATGTGGGTAGCTTGTAAATGGGTCTCCTTTGGGCTATGCATAAATTGGCTAATTAAACTCACTTCATAGGCAATATCTGGCCTGGTATGCGACAAATATATAAGTCCGCCTACTAATCTTTGGTACATATCTTTTTCAACAACATCTTCTTCTGCATTTCCAAGCTTTAGGTTTGGTTCTAATGGGGTACTAGCGAGTTTGCAAGCTGCCTTGCCAGTTTCCTTGAGCAAATCAGTGATGTATTTCTGCTGAGATATAAATATCCCTTTCTCGGAGTGAGCAACTTCAATTCCCAAAAAATATTTTAGTTTTCTCAAGATCTTGATCTCAAATTCCTTGCCTAAGCATTGACTCAATAATTGTTGCTCTTCTTTATTATCTCCAGTTAATATTATGTCATCCACATATACCAATAATATTGTTACTCCCCCTGACTTTGAATGTTTAAAAAACAAAGTATGGTCCCCTTGGCTTTGTTTGTAACCCAGACCTGTCATAACTTTAGTAAACCTGCCAAACCATGCACAGGGGGACTGTTTTAACCCATATAATGCCTTTTTCAACTTGCAAACAGTGTTGGCAACAACATCTTTACCATATCCCGGATGTATCTCCATATAAATTTCTTCTTCAAGGTCTCCATGTAGGAAAGCATTCTTAACATCAAATTGTTCCAAGTTTCAACCATAATTGGCAGCAAGGGACAATATCACCCTAACTGTGTTCATTTTGGCAACCGGAGCAAAGGTCTCCAAATAATCAACTCCATAGGTTTGGGTGAACCCTTTGGCAACTAGTCTTGCCTTATATCTCTCAATTGATCTATCAACCTTGTATTTCATTGTATAGACCCATTTACATCCAACTGGTCTCTTTCCTATTGGTAAGGTGACTAACTCCCAAGTGTTGTTCTTCTCCAATGCCTCCATCTCTACATCCATGGCTTGCCTCCATTTTCTGTCAGACAATGCCTCAGATAGGGTATTAGGTAGAAATGCAGTGTTTAGGTTTACTAGGAAGGTTTTATGGGTAGGAGAGAAATTTTTAAAGGACAGGTAATTTGAGAGAGGGTAGAGTGGCTGTTTGGTGCATTTTCTTGTTCCTTTTCTAATGGCAACTGGGAGGTCAGGATCATTTTGGGTTTCAATTTCAACCTGCACAGCTGGAGAAAAAATTGTTACCTCTTTTTCTGGAGTCGAGTTGGATTCTTGAACATGGCTTGATCCTGGAATGGCCTTAGTCTTCCTTGAGTATACCAGCTTCTTACCAAATTTTCCAACTTCAACATCTTCTTGATCAGCTTCACAATTAATTTCACTTTCTTGACCAACTTCCTTTTTTTGACCAATTCCTTGACTTGTTTCATTTGTTACAACATCAATTTGATCTCTTTTAGGTTCAAATATCAAGTCTGGAAGAATGGGAAAACCAGAATTACTACTTTCCTTATCTTCATTATCTTCCCTGAAACTCTCCCCCTGAAGATAAGGTTGATGGAAATAGCTCTCTTGTTCATTGAAGGTAACATCCCTAGACACAGAATTTTTTGGATGGGGGGTGGTAACATTTATATCCTTTTTGAGTGGGTGAGTAAGTGGGTGAGTAACCAACAAAGACACACTTTAAGGCTCTAGGATCAAGTTTTCCCCTGTCTGTACTATGAATATGGACATATGAGATGCACCCAAAAACTCTTGGTTTAGGATTATTTGTAGTAGACAAGTTTGGATAGAAAGACGACAAAACTTCCATAGGGCTTTTTGATCCTAAGACTCTAGAGGGTAGTCTATTGATAAGGTATGTTGCTATGTTGCTGTAAGGACATCTTCCCCCAGAAATTTTTTGGGACACTTTTTTGGAACAACAATGCCCGAGTCTGATTTAATAGATGTTCATTTTTCTTCTCTGCGACCCCATTCTGTTGTGGTGTTTTGACACAAGAGGACTCATGAATTATACCTTCTTTTTGACAAAAAGAATTAAGGACATGATTGAAGTAATCTTTGGCATTATCTGACCTAAGCCTCTTAATATTAACACCAAACTGATTTTTTATCATGGAGTAGAAGTTTAGGAAGACAGAACTGACTTCTGATTTTTGTTTAAGTAGGAAAACCCAAGTGACCCTTGTACAGTCATCTATAAAGGTGACAAACCATCGAGTACCAGACACATTTGGAATATTAGAAGGTCCCCATACATCAGTATGAACAAGATAAAAAGGGAAATTGCTAATTCTATTACTTATTGGAAAAGATATACGCTTGTGCTTAGCAAGTTCACACACCTCACAATGAAGACTCTCAACATCTAACTTGGTAAACAGAGAGGGAAACATAATTTTGATAACTCCAAAACAGGGATGTCCCAACCGACAATGATAAAGCATGATTTTTTCTCTGTTGGTCATCAAGGATTCAGATATGAAGGAGTGAGAGATTCTATTCTTGCTGGGCAGACTTGGATCTTCGAGATAATAAAGGTCATTCCATTCTCTAGCATGTCCAATCATCCTCCCCGAATCCTTGTCCTGAAATACACAATGATCGTTGAAAAAAACAACTTTACATGACAAATCCTTTATAAGTTTTTGTATAGACACTAGGTTAGTGGACAGCTTTGGGACATGGAGAACATCTTTTAAGGTTATTAAATGATTGATTTGGATATTTCCTTGACCAGCTGCAATTATAAGGGTTCCATTTGCTGTGACAATTTTCTTGTTGTTGGGACATAGGGAATATGTGGAGAAGTGTTTGGATAATGGTGTCATGTGATCTGTGGCTCCAGAGTCCAATATTCAATGATGGTTAAAAGGCGTATATGAGACATTTAATCCAAAAGAAGGTGGAAACTTACCTGAGTATGCCAAAGAACACATACCTGTAGGTTTTTCCAGCTTACTAAGAACGGTTTTCACCCTTTCTATCTCCTCTTCCCTTTACATTATAGCAAAAATGTGCGATGCAACAACAATGCAGGTTGTCGTCTTAGGATTAAGAAAAATGCAGCAGCAATGCAGGTTGCCATCTTAGGATTAAAAAAAATGCAGCAGCAATGCAGGCTGCCGTCTTAGTGTTAAGAAATATGCAGCAACAATGCAGGCTGCCGTCTTAGGGTTTATCGCGCGCAGACAGAGCTTTCGATAGGAAGCTCTGATACCATCTGGAAAATTAGATTAACTGAAATATGATTTTTATTATATCAATACAAAGAGATGATATAAGATATATACAGGAGATCTAAGCTATTTTAGGAAATATAATAACTCTATTTTATGCTAGGATCCCTTGATTTATGGGATTGTTCCTAATTATTCAAATCTGTACAGATTACAAAGAAATATACAAATTTCCTGATTTATTCTTTCCTAAAATACTATTTGATTTCCCACACAAACTAATAAGCTTTAGAGTTGGGCTTAATTTTTATTTTGGACCAGGTTTTGTTGAGACAAAACTCATTTGTTGAACTCTGTTCTTCAAAGTAAAATTTATGACCTTCAACTATGTGGAAGTAGTGCAGGACTCTCAATATGAGTAATAATAATGGCCTTTTTATTGATTTGTAGGGCTCACATGGGCTCTTTTCCCTGATATATATGTGATGTGTGACTTGAGTTTGGAGATTATGGCCCAATTATTTCTTTACTGTTGTGTGGCTCTTTTCCGTTGGAATAAATTGTTAGATATGCTGGGTTGCACTGTGGCATTGTTTGATTTTCTTTCTTCCTATGTCATTATTTCTATTTCTGTTTTGAACGATAGTTCATTGTCCTCCTTGTTATACTTCCTCTCAATATATTTACAATAAAAAGTAGACACATATCTGTGTGATTGCTAACACGGGTCCATGTAACATGTTTGCTTATAGCACCTTCTTTTTTTCTTGATATTTGAATATAAAAGGTTTTTGTGGTGAAAGCATGTGTTCTTATACTTGCAGGAGGGTTTTTCTGTTCCAACACACAGCATTTGTCAAATGCAATCTCTGCTGTTGCTAATCATGAGCTATGTTGCCAACATACTAGTCTGCAATAAAGCCTCAGCAGAAGTACTTTCTGATCAAGCTGAAAGCCGCTGCTTTGTTGATGCAGTCATTGTTTTCTGCAAACTCCAGCATCTTAGCCCAACCACACCTATCAAAACTCAAGTTAGTTATCTTCTTCTTGGAAAAATTGTACTTTTAAGTGATTTGATTGTTTTATTGATTCTTTTTTTTATTGAAAACATCTACTATTCTTTTCTGCATTCTTAACTCAGGTTGATTTAATTGTTGCAACACATGATTTGCTTGCTGAATATGGGCTTTGCTGTTTGGGTGAAGGTGGCAAAGGTGAAGAAGAAACATTTCTTAGATTTGCAATAAAGCATCTTTTAGCCTTGGATATGAAGCTTAAATCCAGCGTTAACCATAAAGAATCAATGCCGTGTGAAGAATTGTCCAGAAACAGTCTTGTCAATGTGTCTGTCGAAGAATCAAAATCAGATGCATTAGGCATCCAGATGGATTGGACCAAAAAGGTTGATGAAATTAATTCGGTTAAAAAGGATGTTTCTGAAGGATTAATATCCAAAGATATTTCATTGTGTAGGGTTCATGATAAAGACAACCACAAAGACAGCAAGGAAGTAGAATGTGAAAATCATGGAGTTGCTGGCACTGACAGTAAGTTAATTAAGGATGAAAATTCAAGCAATCAATTGATTGAATGTGGAAATGAACTTTCTGAAGATGAACGGGAGGAACTTGAGTCTAAAATTGACTGTGCCTTAGATCAGTGCTTTTTCTGTTTATATGGATTACATCTAAGATCTGATTCATCGTATGAGGATGATTTAGTGATGCACAAAAACACAAGCCGAGGAGATTATCAAACCAAAGAACAATGTGCTGATGTTTTCAAGTACGTTCTTCCCTATGCAAAGGCATCTTCTGTGAGTTTTCTCAATCCATAACTTGTATATTACAACTTGTCTATGGAATATTTTACAGAAAATTTCATTTCTGATTTTGTTTTGCGTTAAAATCATGTATTAGAGGACAGGACTGGTCAAACTTCGTAGAGTTTTAAGAGCTATCAGGAAGCACTTTCTTCAGCCACCAGAGGCCCTCTTGGAAGGAAACCCTATAGATAAGTTCCTAGATGATCCTAATCTATGCGAAGAAAAGCTCTCAGAGGAGGCCGGGTCTGATGGATTTCTTGAATCTATTACTAAGAGAATGTTTCCTGATGTGGGTGGCCTTGTTCAGTATAATGCAACATTGTTGAGGAGGTATACATTGTACAGTACAGAGATGCTTTTTTTTTTTAAATTGTTTTAATTAAATGCCTCTTCTGATTTAAATTTAATGGCTACAATACATCCATGATATTCCTTGATTTTGGCTTCTGAAGGTTATCTCAAATTGTATTTGGCTTTCAGGTCTGAGCCATATTTGGATGTCTACTGTAACTTGTATTATTTCTTGGCTCTGTCTGAGGAAATGAGTGCAACAGATAAGTGGCCTGGATTTGTGCTGACCAAGGAAGGGGAAGAATTTGTTCAACAAAATGCAAAGCTCTTCAAATATGATCTCATCTTCAATCCTCTGCACTTTGAAAGCTGGCAGCGACTTGGAAATATTTATGATGAGGTAAGTTAAAAAACTTATTTGACTTGTTAAACCATGAACTTACTAATATACATCATTATCTTAATTTCTAAATACACTCCCTTATAGTTTATAACCGGTCCTTTGTTGCACTGAGCTAGGAAGTAGATTTGCTGTTAAATGACGGTAGCAAGCACGTTAATGTAGTAGGGTGGAGGAAGAATGCTACTTTATCTGCGAGAGTGGAAACAAGCCGAAGGAGGAGTAGACGGTGCCTCTTAATGAGTTTAGCTTTGGCAAAGACATCTGCCCAACAGGTATATTTCTATTTATAACCTTTATGGAGATCCCATATTGACATATGATTAAAGTATAGTATATACGTAAATGCAAACCTCACCTTATAAGTAAGGTTTTAGGGTTAAGTTAGGTTTAAATCTGTTTTCTAATAAGGTATCAAAGACTATCTAGTAAGCTTTGTTGTACCTATTATTCAAAGAGTTATCTGACCACCCACAAATAGTCCAATCTCATGTTTTTGAGATGTCTAGTGGGTGTTGGAATCTCACATTGACTAAAATATGGCCAAATTATAGTATATAATAAATAGAAGGCAAACTTAGCTTAATAAGTTGATTTTGTTAGGTTGAGTTAGGCTTACCGTCCACTTTCTAACAATATCACTGCAAAACCAATGTTTATATACCCACAAAAGTTCCATGCAAATGTCCCCATTGGTATGGGTTTGATTGATATCCTTAATATCCATTGACAGACCATTCATTGATTATGCTAGCTATTTGGTCACGTTAAATGCCTGATCATAAGATTAAGAAAATTGTGCGGTAAAAATCTATATAAAACGTTCAAGTTTTATGTTATGAATTTGTATGCTTGCAACATTTACTTGAATCATAGACTCTAGAATCTTCATGATATCAATATTACCTTGGTAATAGTATTGTTTATTTATGTATTTAACATTTTTCTTGGTTTTGTTGTATTTCCAGTGTGAGATACATGAGTTATTGGCATTGGTATACTATGACAGTCTTCAAAATGTAGTCCCATTTTATGATCAGAGATCTGTTTTGCCCTTAAAGGATACAGCATGGATGATGTTTTGTGAGAACTCAATGAAACATTTTAAGAAAGCCTTCACACTTAAGTATATACTTTTTCCTTGTATATTCTTATTCTCTGCACTTCTCTAGCTTTGATGTAATGTTTATGAACTGCTTGATTCTTCGTGTAGGCAAGATTGGTTGCATGCCTTTTACTTGGGTAAACTCAGTGAAAAACTTGGATATTCACATGAAATTGCAATATCATATTACAATAAAGCTATTGCTTTGAACACATCAGCTGTTGATCCTGTCTATAGGATGCATGCCTCACGCTTGAAATTATTATTTAAGCATGGAAAGCAGAATTTGGAAATTTTGAAGGTTTTCCTCCCTTTTCTGTTCACTAAATTCTATTTTGTTATCACTTTATTCATTTGTCTTTGACATTGTCCATTCATTCTGATTGTACTAACTGTCATATCTTGTTTTTCTGTACTTTACAGATGCAGTTATTTAATTAAAAGGTTAACCTTCAATTTTTTTATTGACTAGATGGGCACTTGATCTATATTTTTTCTATTGTTTGGTCTTCAACAGGTTCTCTCGGCAAACTCTTTTAATCAATCTGTCAAAGAAGGTGCAGCAAGTATCCTAACTAGTGTGGATAGTTCATTTATTAATACAAAGGAGAGATGCATTAATGCCAATTTTATGGAAACAAACCATGATAAGTTGCCCAAATTGGATACTGTATGGTCTATGCTTTACAACGATTGCCTTTCTGCTCTTGAAACGTGTGTGGAGGGGGATCTCAAACATTTCCATAAGGCCAGATACATGCTGGCTCAAGGGCTGTACAAAAGAGGTGAGAGTGGTGATATAGAGAGGGCAAAAGATCATCTATCTTTCTGCTTCAAATCTTCACGCTCATCATTTACGATAAATATGTGGGAAATTGACAGCATGGTAAAAAAAGGAAGGTATAATTGTTCTTACCCTTTCGTTTTATAAGTTTTTTTAATTTGATTAATGAGATGGCATTTTGTCACTAACAATTGATTTGCCAATTTTTAAGAATGCATGATTAATACTTTGTTAATGTTAATTAGTTTCCTAACAAAAACTTTGAAGAGTTGAAAGATATAGTCTCTTGGAACCTTTTTTTTTTTGTGTCTCAATTAAAAGATATTTTACCCAAATTGCCTTGTGTAACTTGAGGGATTCCCTTTTCAAAATAAAGTAACATTTAATGGATTTTAAATCCATGTTATGTAGGAGGAACAAACAGCAATAAGTTCCCAACCTAGGACTAACCTATTTTGCATTTAATATCAGGCGCAAGACACCAGGTTCTGCTGGGAACAAAAAAGCCCTTGAGGTTAACTTACCAGAGAGTTCTCGAAAATTTATTACTTGCATTCGAAAGTATTTGCTGTTTTATCTCAAACTATTGGAGGAAACTGGAGATAAATGTATTCTTGAGCGTTCGTATGCTGCTCTTCGAGCAGATAAGCGGGTAAATTCCAGAGTCCTGATTTACTGCTTGAGTTACACGTCGTCAGTAAATGAAAACTGCTACAGTTTATGCTTCATTTGTTGTCATGGAAGCACCTTTTTATGACTGTTTCTTGCACTTGATTAATGTGAATTGTTTGATGATTTGGCTTGTTTCTTTTTACTAGTAAGACTAAGATTGGTTTAGTTCAATTAGGTGATGAGAATTTACTTCTAAAGATATGGATTTACAATTTGTATGGGTTCAAGGGAAGGAAGCCCCTTCAAGACCAGAGTAAAATCTTATCCTGAATTGAAGAATTTACCATTAGATATTGTTAAGGTTCAACATAAAATTAATTGGAAATATGTGGAGTAGCCTAAAATGTATTTAAACCATACCAAATGACATGAGACATGAGGTAGGCGATGTGGGACTTTCAACACGTCCCCTCCAATTAAGCGTGCCGGACTAGGCAAAGGGTATTTTTGACCCACAACGAAAGGTCAACTCTTGGTCCAAGACAATAACCGGAAAGATGTTAAGCTTTGACTCTGATACCATGTTAAGTTCCAACATAAAACCAATTGGTTATATGTAGAGTAACTTAACATGTATTTAAACCATACCAAATGACATAAGGTAGACGATTTGAGATTTTCAACAAATATGTCCGGGGAAAACTCTCATCCAAGACTTTGATTTATTTTCTGTTTTCTGTTTTGTACTTTGACTCGGGGGGATTCCCTGTCCTCCTTTCTCTTCGAAATTTTCATTTCTTTTTTATATAACATAACTGATTAACTAGTGAATCCAAATCTAAGTGGATTAGTTTTACCTCTGTATAAAAACTTGGAAGTTCTTGTTGTCAATTAAATCTAGTATGTATTTGTCAACAATAATAGAATGAATTGTGCAGTAATTATTCATTTTTTTTGCTTCTTCCCCTCCAAGACCCTTCAAATATGTTTCTTAAGCAGCTTGAGGCTTGACTATTTGTGTTTTATTTATGTGTGTCCTGTGCACCACCCTTCTCCTTGCCTAATAATAAACAAGGGTAAAATATCTTTATTTTGTCTAGAATCCAGCAATATTTTATGTTATTATTAGTCACCCGTCAACTATGACCTACATCATTTCTTGTCATTTTTGCCTATGTTGTTTGATAGTATTGTAACATTTTTTGTTTGTCTTTCATTTCCACCATAAATGCAGTTTTCATTGTGCATTGAAGATCTTATACCAGTGGCTATCGGAAGGTATCTTAAGGCTCTGATTTCAACTATCTGCCATTCTCAGGCTACTGCCTCTGGTTCAGTGAGCAGTTCTGACAATGTGCTGGAGAGAATGTTTGCATTGTTCATGGAACAAGGGAGCTTATGGCCAGAAATATGCAGCTTGACTGAAATTGAAGGCTCAGATATGTCAGATAGTATCATATATGGGTAATAAGATTTAAACTAATATATGACATTTTTGAACAAATTATTTCACTGAGCTTCTTTCGATTGAAATACAATGTGTTTGCCATTTGGTTTTCAATTGTATTAACCAATTAACTAATTTCGATCCTCTAATCTTTGCAGATATCTTCATGACTATATTGTATTATTGGAGAAAAATGGAAAACTGGAAACTCTTGAAGCAATAAATGAGAAGATTCGGAAGCGTTCTAAGAATCCAAAGTTTTCAGACAGTAATTCTGCAGAAGTTGGCAGGCATGCTTCTGTGGCTTGGTGCCGATCTCTTGTATATAATTTGGCACAAATAACTCCATTGTCATGTGGGTTCTCAAACGGGATTCAGGTCCTTAATTTGACTGACGGTGGGATGGATAATAGCCACATGCTCTGCATTGATTTGCAGCCAAATGAATTATGGAGTACAGCTTTTGAAGATCCAACTCATTTGGAAAAGATTGAAACAAGATGGAGCTCCATTTTAGCAAAAATAAAAAATATTATTATCAACAAAGCTTCTGATGAGAATTTGGAAACTGCAAACACTTTGCTCAGAGCATGCTATAATTTTTATCGGGAGAGTTCTTCGATAGTGCTTACCTCCGGACTCAACTTTTATTTGATTGCATCTCAATTAGTAACACAGATATCATTCAACCCAAATACAGCTGGGATTGAAGCACTTGATCTGAGCATACCAAGGAAGCTTCTATTGTGGGCCTATGTGCTATCACATGGTCGCTGTGCAAATATCTCAGTAGTTGTAAAGCATTGTGAAGAAATTTCGAAGGTATGGTAAATGCTTACTGAAGTTCATTGCTTCGCTGTACCAGAACATCTTATAGCAAAAACAAACCTCCTCATAGCATATTTGAGAAGGGTGCTTGACTTTCAAACCCTTTTCATTTGACTTTTAGCTTTTCAAATCATCACATGGTAATTGAATTGCGAACTACTACAAGTTAGGAGTACTTGTCTACATGACATTTTAATCCTAAGGGACTAATTGATATCACAAAATTTGTACAATTTTTGTTGCCTAGGTAAAATTGAGAATGAGTAGTGTGTCTTTTATAAGCTGTCCATTAATCATTACTTACGGCAAGTTCTGCTTTGCAGTCAAAGATGAAAAGAGGAAGTGGAACGTCACCTGCGTTGTCAAGCACGTCTCCTGCCCCTAGTCTTCCAGGTTATTTGTCCTCCTGAACAATTACTTGGTTTTATTTTGAAAGAAGTGGTTATCTCTAACGATGCATGCTGGTTATAGGTAGCGGTAAAAGCGGACCAAATTCTGCCGGAGGCATTGACGTTGATTCTCCCCATGTCACCACAGTGCTTAGCGGCAATACCACTAATTTTGTGAATTCACTTTCCTCCGATGACATTCAGAAGAATATATTTTCTTCTCCCCACTTGCATCAATGCACCACCAACGATGCAGAAAGAAGCAATTTGATAGCACATGAAGGAGATGCAGAGGGAGATTGACTTCCTGCTCGTGCGGTTAATTTGATTAGTGCAGCAGCTTCACAGTATATCTTGAAGATGTAATCATATGTATTTTCAACTTGTAAATCTCTAGTGATTAAAGAAAATGTAAATGGGGTTGTTTTTGTTGAGACCTTTACCACTCAAATTTTTCCATCGCTTGATGACTGTAGATAGTACCTCGTCGTCTTGTCTGTCTTCAACTTATGATGATTTAAACTCAATTTAACGTTAATGTATAGATTTCTATAATTTTCTATAGATTTGACATTAGTGTATACATTAAAACCTGAAGCTTTTGAGATTGTATTGACCAATAACGAATTATATTAGGATTTCCGTTTAAGCTAATCATAAAAGTCAACAAAAACTGTGTAAAAGTTATAATTTCCACATGGCCAAATATTCTTACCCGCTTATTTATTATGCTGAAATAAGACCTCCTATTAATAATGAATTATATTTTTATTATTTTTTATGAATTTTTTTTTACTTTTTTATAACATAGACTACTTTTATTTTAAGACTTACATATTTGTTATTATTAAATAAAAATGTAGAAAATTTATTGGTATACATTTTTGTCAAAAATGTTAGAAACGTTAGGAAATTGCGTGGAATCCGGAACCGTTTGCTGTGAAGTGAAACGTCCACAGTGCATTCGCTCTCCGTTTATGTTTCTTCAAGGTTTTTCCAGCCGACATGGGAAGAGTCCGTGTCCTAGAATGCTAGTTCAAATTATGTTCTGAAACACCTATCCTACAAATAAGTTAGTGTGTATTTAGTTAATTTATTCAATTTGATAGTTTTACTATTAGAAACTCCAATTAAATACTTAAATCTTTAAATTAATATAAATTTATTGCTTGAGATGGACACAACAGATAACTTGACAGAAAGAAAAATTAATGTTAATTTAAATATTAGCGACCTAATTAAAACTTTCAATAATGAAACCATCAAATTGAATAGATTATATAAATACAAGAACAAAAAGAAATAATTTAACCAAAATAATATATGTTGATTCACCAGGATTTAATTTTTTTCAAAATTGTAGTATTCCAGTCCTTTTGCACAATATTCATGAATTATGTGTCCCCATTTTTATTGGAATACCAAACTTACTAGTAACACAATAACACAATGACTGAATTTGTGTACCGGTGGTACTACCAAGCAGGAGTATTTTGTAACCATAATATATACGTAGAATCGCGCACGATTTATAACTAGTAAAATCAAACACAGAATGAACACAAGCTACCATTGATGCAAGCTCCTAGGCACAAAATTCAAATACCTTTACCCATTTAGTGTATATCCAAGTGGGCAATTAAGTAATTAATTAATTTTACTATAAACTTCAACTATATACGTAGATTAGCAAAATATTAAATACAGGAACTTAAAAAACTCCGATTAAGACCACGTTCACACTACGTTAATTGAAAATTGGAGAATTCAAAGAATTAAATTAAATAAATTACTGCAAAAATACAAAGATTAATTATATAAAATTTAATCTCAGATGTCTCTTTTTATATCAAGTATATCCACTGACAACATCATTTGTCAATCTTACAAAAAGAATTAAATTAATGTTAATTTAAAAAGATTAAATTATTTTTTCCTTACATTTATATTATTTATTCAATTTTATTCTTATATTATTAAAATTTCTAATTAAGTCTCTCAAATTTTAAATGTAGTAAGTTTGCCCTTCCATCAATTGACACAAATTATATTATTAAACACAAGAGATTGAATTAAAACAAACTTCAAATTTTAAAGACTTCATTATAAATTTTAATAATATAAAGACTAAATTAAATAAATTTTGTCACAATAGAACCAAACTGAATAAATTTTACAAATATAGGACCAAATTTATATAAAACTATATAAATACAGGGACCAAAAACTTAATAAATTATAGAACTAATATTTATTAAAAAATGTGCATTACTTTGATATATAATGGGGATAACACGTTTTCAGAGTCTGAATGATTAGCAGCAAAAGCAATACAATAGAGAACGAACTAGTTTTTAATCCTTATTAACAAAAGTATTACTAACACTGCATCACATTTTTGAGTTATTTTTAAAATCACAAAAAAAAAAAGCGAGTATAGCTGTATTTTCATAATTTGCTTATTCGTTTTCACAATTTACTAAGGCTCTAAATTTGTTACACAAACCATATACATTAAGACATGAAAAAGTAATATTTTGCAACATATTAAAATTACTAAATTAAAACCTGTCAACGCTCTTATTTTTTACTTGTTCCAAAAATAAACTATAACTGATGAATATTATAAGATATTTTTAAAATAAACAAAATCTACAATTCATATTGTAATATTATATCTTAGTATTAACAATATCGTCTCACATTATTTAATAATGTGGTGTGTAAATTTAAAATACTACTGATTTAAAAATTAAAATACTTAATAATAAAGAAATCAAATTAAATAATTACATAAATTTAGATATGATGTGATATAAGTAACCACTTAAATATTTAGAGGCTTAATTAGACATTTTAATAATTGAGAGAATCCAAATGGAAGTAATTGAACCAAATAAGGAGCAGGAATTCATCGAATAGGACTGTAAGGGAAATATAACGCCTCAAGCACAATTATTATCCCGGTAGGGCAAATTGAACACAAATAATAAAAAGGAAAAAGAAAGGGCAACAACTAACATATTCTAAAATGTGCTTAGTTACTTCATATTTACACAGTAGGAAATAGGAAAAATGAAGGTGAAAATGATTGAATTTTTTTGGAAAGAACTATTGAACATTAGGTGTTACAGTAATGAATGCCTCTACAACTTGTTCTACTTTGGATTTCTATAGTTCTATTTCTCCCCACCTCGAGTTATCCAAAATACTAACATCTCTATGTCAACCAATCTTTGATCTATTCTAGATTACCGTACTGAGAACATGTAATGGATCGACCGGGAGAGGAGGGAAAAGGGGTAAAAAGTTAATGCCGAGAACATACCATCATGACTGCCAGAACAGCTCAAAATCGTTACTATACAAGGATCGGTCTTGAATTTCCAGATTGGCAATATGCCAATTAATGAGTTGAGACTGGAACAATTTACACAAAACCAATCCAGCAGGGAAAATCCACCATTCACTTTCGTCCCTGCACGCATGCATCCCCAGATAGAGTAAGATTTTCCCAAATAAACAGACCTCTTAAATCAAAGTTAAACAAGACCCTTACATGATACTCCATGGCTGAATGCTCGGGTGTCTTTTACTTGAAGACGATTGAGAGTTGTAATGTATATATCCACAAAGAAATGCAACAACCTAGTTACAAATAACACAAGATCCCCAATTAAAATCAGTTATAAATGCAAAGGTACATTGACCCAACAAATTAACATTAAGATTGAAGGATCAAATATCCCCAACCAGCTGAAATTCGATAGATTACTTACAACATTTATGTAGGATGTAAGATTCCACAGAGCATAAAGACGTGCAAGGCCTGCAGAACGCCTTGGTCCGTGACTAAAGAGAGCATTAATTCCGACAGGAAATGGGAGAAGAATGCCGAAAGGTAATATAAACAACACAAAGAAGACATCCACCAAAGAAATTGAATACAACTGAAGCAGAGTAAGTAATACTAAACTAAAATCTCCTAGAAGCAACATTGAGATTACTAAACCAACAAGATCCTGCAGTCAACACATAAGAAAAAAAAAATCAGTTTTTAAATAGGACTACCACAACCAAATCGGTAAAAACTATTAATCCTAGAAATACCTGATGCCCAACAGGTTTTGTATTCTGAAGTATGAAAGAGAGAAGATAAAAGATATCTCTCTTCTCGTCAAGCATCTGCAAATTGTTTATATCTATAGCAGCTCCATGCACTTGTCGCCTCATATAATTGTCCTCTGTTCTTCCACCAGGGCTTAAATGAGCTCTGCTTCTTGCAAACCCAAAAGGATGTTCCTTTTTAACACTCTGAGCCCTGGAAACCAAAATTTGTAAACAAACAGAGCAACAAGTATTCAAAAATCATACTACATTCCTCTAAACATTATTGGAACATCATCTTTTTAATCTCTCATGAAGATAATACGAAAACATGGTAGCACACCTCATGTACAAAGGATTACCTTGATCTTTCCTCAGTTCTTAAAGCTCCATCGGCACTTCCTCCCGAGGCTGGATGACCACTCTCAAGAGCATATACCATAAGCCCATAGTGGCAATACCCACTACTTGTAGCCTGAAACCAGGCAAGTTCAACACGCACACCATGGACACTCAATGCAGGATTGGCATGAGTCTCAAGCCATTTAAGGACAGGCCGAAATGTTACTCGTAGTCTTCCCCGGCGTACCAAACGTAGTTGTGCATTCAGTCCAGCAACCAATCTATACCAGGTTGTAGGTTGCACTGACTGCAAACACCATTAAAAGTTTGCATGTAATTAAATTCCATTAGAATAGAACAAAAAGTAAAGCATAAGTAAAGATGCACATCTGTGCATAAAATAGAGTTCCCCGAAAGAAATAAACAAACCTGACTCATGAGGCTGGTAAGGATATTATCATTGTGAAGGGAAAATGGAGCCATATAACTTCCATCACCTCCAAAAGGCAATGACATTGGGAACCTTTCATGTAATCTAGGAGGAAGGTCGATCCTCTTTTCATCCCCACCAAGAAAGAAGTCCACATATGCCAGCATCAGGTCAGAAGTTGCATTCACCTATATTTTTATAGGCCAATTAGCATTATGACACCTCATTAAATATTTAAACCTGTTCTGATTTCAAATAACGTGAAGATAAGAATTCTTAATTGGTTGGTTTAAATAGAGCCCCAGATAGTGGAACAAGGAAGTACCCCAAAAACTTAAAGGTAGGAAAGCTACTTTAAAAATAAACAGAAATAACTCTTTCATTCAAAATTACAACATACATGACACTGACATCAGGCAGCAAAGGAAAATTATTGAGAAATTTTTATCTCCCACCAGCTATCAACATGCCAAATAGTTTTGAATTAATGATCTCTTCATGTAACCTGTCTATCTATGAAAGATAATTGATACAATCAACATAATGCAATAAACTGAAATCTGATGACATATCGTTGGTGATTATTAACTACAGAAATACAACTAACCATGTCTGAAATTGGAACAAAAACAAACTGATCAATCAGCATGTATTCAGTAATACATACTTAATGAATGCAACAGATACATATTTCACTCTTCACAAGTTCAACGAGTATATAAACAAGTCAAACCTTGATCCCTTCATAGAGGGCTCGTGATCGGCAAGACCGAAGGCAAGCATGATCATACTCTGATCGAACAAACTCCCGTAATCGTTGCAACTTCAATCTCCTGTGCCACTGTTGCCAGGACCACGCAAGTGGGTAAGCAAGAACAGAAAGAACGCTATATATTGCTCCCTCCCACCATTGATAAGCAGCTATAGCATTAATCTCATCCACAAATGTATTGAATTCACCCTCATAACTGCCATGTAAAATGTTGGAAGGTTTCCATTTCAATATCAAAACCAAATAACATAATTTACAATAAAAAAAATTGAAATCCTCAAATTTCAACCATGGGATCTTATAATGATCAAACAGAAGAATGATTTGCTTACACGACATCCTTTATTTGCTCTGATGCTGTATGTGGTAGATGCCAGGGTTCACTGAAAGTATTAGGTCCCATAAAGTACATTCTGTGAACATGACTCTGGGACTCCTCAACTCTGGTTGTCTCCATCACCTATGCATCATGTTGTTGTCATCACCAATAATAAAAAATCTTGAAAATAAAAACAAAATAGCTATACTGTTAAGGGGCACACGCTGATCTTAAATTCAGAAAAAATGTCAGAATATGGAAACTGAAAAGGAACCACATGGTTTGAGAAAAACCTCATTTAGTGACTCAAGGAAAGGGAAGGAGTGATCTATTTGAGAACCATGTTGGGTGGGTGCAGGGCCTGGTAATTCATCAACCCCAACAAATTTCATTCTAGCAACACTGAGCACCAGTGCCAACAAGATCAAGAGACCCGTGAGAAAAAGGCCAAATAACCAAGGCCCACCAAATGTGTAAATTAACTCTTCAAGAGCTGTATAACAGTCAGGCATATGATATCTGTCCGAAACACATTGGTAAGGGCAAGGGGTTTTAGTAATACCACCTGCATAAAAGGACAAAATGGCAAATTAAGCATTGATGCACCAGAGATTAAAATAAAATGGGCAGTTTTTGGAAAATATTATGAAGAAGGGGGTCACATTATACCATTTTACCACTCAGAATAAATATATAAAAAAATGACAGACAGAGGTATACAAATCATTCAATTCCACAATAAATACTTCAAACTAAATGATATCAGAATGAAACTATGTAACCATCCATTAAATTATAAAATCTACCTCGGACTGAAATATAAACAGCACGATGAGGAAGCTCGTTCACAGGACAATGGCGACAAAGAGATTTATCAGATCCACTAGCATTTTTGTAAGTCCCAGCAGGACATTCCTGGAGGCAAGCAAGAAATATAAAAGCCAAAGAATAGAAATGATGGAAGTACAAGCATCAGTTAAGTAAAAAAAAAAGGAAAGCAATAAAGTAGCAATAGAACATGCGGCAAAAAGGGTAAACAAAACTCCTAATAATTTGAGTAACCCTCCTCTAATCCAGTAGTTTAAAGCAGTGGTCAGTCAAATGCCTCACCAGCACCAAGATAGAGTAGCCTCACCAATTTTGATGTTGCCAAATCAGAATAGGTTCATGCCAAGAATGATTAACAAAATGCTTGTAACTATGACATAGCAACAAAATAAAGAGTTTTCATCTTCTAAGCACTAGTAGCCACAATGCGCAAGTAATTAAAATGCACACTGGATTTTTCTAAGGTGAGTTAAAGCTAAAAAATCTACCATCATTGTCAGTGACATCGTTACCCGAAAATCTGCAGTCAAATCCAACACTTTTCAACTGCCCAAATTTTATTAGAGTTTATTATCGGAATATTTCAAGTTACTAGGCTTGTATTTTATTTATAGTTACACTGAATCCTTTCAATACCAACACTAATTTACTGCCACAACACCCTTAAATCTGTTTACTATCCTGGTAAAATGTATGAGATATGACCTTTTTTAATATAGATTTACTATAGAGCAATGAATTGTAAGGACAAATTTTCCTTTTTCCAGTCTTATATAAAGCTTCAAAGCAGCCTACTCGGCTAGAAATAGTTAAAAATATACTACACTTATTGGCACAGTAGAAAATATGAGAAAAGAAAAGACAATATGTCTCAGCCAACAAAGCCTTAAAAAGCTTCTGCAAAAGTAAAATTCCACAAAGTAACAAATTGTAAAAAATTTATGCTATGCTAAAGCTTTGTAAACGGAGTGATTTCAAGGAATATTTTTCAACTAAAGGCCATGTAATGTCTGATGATGATTGAAATGGAACAGAAAGGAATAGGACATTACAGAATGGCATAAAATTTCCATTTTTGTAAGAATTAAATTTTACTACTAAGAAATGGCAGAGTATAGGTCCTTCTAACAAAGTTACACGTACACATAGAACATAAATATTGAAACACCAGCATATTATTGGGGTGACAAGCATCAGAAGCTTGACATATTTTCATTAACATTCACTACCGGTCCTCCAAATAAAGGTCAGCTTCTCTTTAGATTTATCAGTGTATCATTGCCAGAAATATACTCAAAATGCCAGACTCTTGTCAACCCAGAACATCAAGTTGTGGTTACAGTAAAAATATCATAGAACCTAACAACAACAAGTGCCTTCCACATATCCTCCAAACACATTTAACCATTAGATGTTGGTTTCATGTCTACTAAAAGTTGGCACATTAATAATTCGAGTATAATCCCACCAAAAGTTTGAAGTAAAACTATCCTCAGATATACCCGAACATCAGTGTCAGAAATGTAATCAACATCCTACACTCAAACCGACAACCATATTGTGGCTGGAAAAAAAAGCATAACCTAAATGGTGATGATGGTCATTATACTAAAACTACTAGCCCTTAAAAAAGTAACACATTTAGATAAACTACTAGTAAACAGAAATGTAGAATAAGGTCACACATTCAATAAATACGGAAACACATGATCAAAAGGCTAGCTTCATAAATATGGAAATGTAACAATTGGGGGAAGGTGGAAAGAAAATATACCTCACAAAAGGTACCATACAAGCCTTTGGGGCAATCTTTCCCAGTTATTGTCCCATTAGATCCAGAGCCACCCTGGCCCATACCCTTTCCTCCCCTATCATAAGCAGATACAATTATAAAGTTATGAAACTTCCATGATGATACAAACAAAAGGCAAGGATAGAAACTGAAATGAAATTGAGAGAAAAATTAGAAAACTCCAATGGAAAAAGAAAATTACAAATTCAACCAAAAAAGACGATATTTTTTAAGTTTACAGAAGTGAGGAACTACAATCACTCCTTGGAGTTACACATAGTTCCCTTCCAATCCCAAGACAAGCATGTCACATGTCCAAGGAGGGGAATCATTACCATTATTAGCATATACAAGCTAATATCATTATGGGATTAATGGACTTGATTTTGATATACTGACAGTGTAAAGATTTTGACTGCAATATTTTTAAAAATCATCCTCGATATGACATTCAAAAGCAATTATTACAAAAGTGAACAATCCAATCATAGATGACAATTCATGATTGAATGATTGTAAAAAATCATTACATTGTCAGTGTATTCCAATTAAATTATTAAAAAAATACAAGATAAAAATTATAAGTTTAAAACTCCAAATCTAACAATAAAAACAATAGAAGTTATCTTCTAATTACAATCTCCACCACACCAACAAAGTTTGCTACAGATTCACAGACCTCAAACATTTCAGGATCTGAAATGAGTGATGACCACTGGAAGTGTCCTTCTATGCTATAGCAGTCTTTTAGGATACAATTTATAGGGTTTGACAAGAGTAGAAAGGCCAGAAGTGCTAATTGGCAATTATCAGGTGCATCTGGATGCAGTACAGTGCAAAATCTTTAAGGGTGTTTTATGCCCTTAAATAATTGGACAAAGGGTTATGTTCTTACTCTCTCTCTCTCTCTCTCTCTCTCTTCCCAGGGCTATTTTAAGTGGCATCGAACTCTTATGTGCAAAGGTATTGGGCAGCTTTGCTGCTTCCCAAGTTTCCTTTATATATTTTTGCCTCTACTATTTTTTTAAATTTTCCACCTCCTGAGGATGACTTATCCTTGTTCCAGATGGACTTATCTCTTTTATCATACTTAATTTTCTAACAGAGAAACAAAAAACATAGTTGACTGCCTTCTCATAATACTATTTTCTGCAACAATACCTATCTAAGAAGCTGCTACCGTGATGACAGGGAACGAAAAAAATTATAGAAATATCCTACTTCGGATATAGAGAGAAAGGATAGATAGAAAAAAAAAAAAATGGAACAAAACATCAGACACTGGTGACAACTTATTGTTGGTTAAAAACACAGCAAAGTTGACTGACAAGAAAAATGAAACTGACTACAAGCTGAAAAATAATATGCAAAATCATAATAAAAACAAGATAGAAGAGTTGCAGCATAAACATGCAATGGAAATACCTGATCTGAATGTCGCCTTCCACACTAGCAATTGGCAGATAAACATCACCAGTGGGAATGTCAGACCAATGAAAATGAATTCTTCCACCACCCCCACCACCACTTCCATTAGAACTGCTATATCCCCCAATACTAGAAAGCACAGCTGATTGCCCAATGGTAAGTGTATGGAGAAACAGTAGTATAGTGCCACCAGATCCACCCCCAGGACCTCCAGTAGAATTGTCAAATCTTGTGAATCCTTCATTTCTGATTACCGATCCAAAATTCTCTCCATCAGCTGTTACAGAACCTTGAATGGACAAACTCGACAAAGGATGTTCTAACGAACCAACAACTGCTTAACAGATAATACAAAACAAGAATACAAATTAAAGAAGAAATCTAGTGGCAATAACATCTTCCATTATCGTAAAGAAACATTAACTGGCCCAAACACAAACTTTGGCATACCTATGATACCACCCCCAGCAGTGATATAAGTAGAGTTGCCACTTCCACTTCCACTACCAAGTTCACAGGGTAGGTTTGCATCCCCATATGAACTGCCACCTTCAACATGATTACCATTATACCATGCAGCCCCACCATTACCACCATGCCCACCACCACTGCCAATACCATTACTTAGAATATTTCCACGGCCCAAACCACCTGTACAGCCTGCAGTTTTTTTTTACACAATCAATATAGGAAATGCAGTTACTTGAAATAAAAAAGTGACAACAACCTTGCAGACAACAAAGAAACATACCCATTCCAGAGGCAGATATTATTCCAGAAGATTCAACACTTATGGTCCTTGCCCGATGGAAATGAACAACAGAACCTTCTATAAGGCCTTCAACAAGGATGTCCTCGACTCTGCAGATCTAGAAACAGAATTTTCAAGTCTCAACTGTAGATATTAACGCAACCAAATGTTTACACCATCAATACTTCACAAAGTACCTGAAGTGTGAAAGACAGGGAAGCATTCACATTGCAATCTTCAGGGGGATGAATTAATTCATAGGGACAATTTTCATTGTCACAATAAAGCTTTGGAGTACTGTCAATCATAAAAGTATGAAAATTTAGCAGAATTACAAACAAAAAGCATAGAATGAGAAATCAACTAATAATATTTTGACAACATCCAAACATACATATCATCAATTGTTGCATTCTCCAATGGACCACGCAAGACAGATCCAGGCCCAACCTATACAAAATGTCAAAAACAAACTCAAGTTGTAGAGGTAAGACCAAATAATGCTCAACCAAAACACAAGCAGATACAGTATTATCACCATTGGTTATGTCCAAAAATAACCAAGTTACCACAATGGTTTCATTTTAAAAGATGGGAACTAACAAGAATCAGACCCAAAGTGCTGGGAGAACCAACAACATCAGTGCAACTAAGCCATCAAAAGAATGGCACAAGAGTCAAAATCAGTCCATTGCACCCCAAATAAAGCCCAAGATCCTGACACGGTGCAAAGAGAGACGCTATCCAAGCTCAGTACTAGTCATTATGATATTTTCCTCAGACAGTTTCTGTTTTTTTTAAAAGCATGGACACAAAAAACCAGTTTCTTTGAATTAGCTATAGAAATTTTGAAGGTACAACAAGGATAAAAATTTTTAGTTACAAGCTTTATAAGCATTACTTTGGAATATTTGGTTGGAGAAGAATGGTAAAAATTGAGAGGTTCTCATGGACTTTAGATTTGCTCATAATATGATTGTCTCCTTACCATCTCTGATGTTCTGCTCAAGGTTAGGTTTGTCTGATAAATGTTAATTGAAGAGCTATATTATAACTTTTTTGTTCAAGTGAATTATGTTTTTGACCCAAAGCAAAACTTCTTTGTGTCATTCTATTCTACTACTAATAATCGAAAGGTATTTAACAATTGGGAAGTATTAGGATATACTTACAATACTCTCTAAATAAATAAATAAAATGAACAAAATAGCACAAAACTAACTTCTAATCTACCTAAAAATGCCCAATGGTAAACCAGTAAAAACAAAAGGTATAAGAAACAGATTACGAACTAATTTGAAAAGATTAGTCAAAAAGTTAGTCTACTGAAAAAGGAAATGAGATCTCCTAATTCACAAGTCTAGACAAATCAGATGGGGGGAATCAAGTGTTTAAAAGACAATACAAAATTACAAACATTGGTGATGAAAATAAAACAATGTCTCACATGAATACTATAAAATAGGGATAAAACCAAACGCTGTGCTTCAATCCAATCTCCTGGTCCTGATAGATTAAGCAGACCTTGTCCATGAACTCCAAGGTTTGCATTAGAGTGTATCACAGAAGCCCCCTGTTAATGCAACCCAATAAGTCAAATGAAGATAATACATGCAATAATATTGTTCAGTAAAGGAGTGGTTAAATACCCTGAGAACAATCAAATTACTAGCCTCAAGTAAAGAAGTTGCCACTGTTACATCTTCCCCACCATCTATGAGCAGTTTTGAGTTCCACATCAAGAACATTTTTACAGACATGCGCAGAGCTCCATAAACCTTTTACATACAAATTTAGGAGTAAACATCAGCAAATTACATTATAGCATTGACTATTGGCAAAATAAAAAAATAAAGCAGCCTGTGTATGTAATACTCATTATGTTTACTAGTTCTACAGCACAGAGTTCAAAGATACAACAGATACAGGAACTAGGAGTCAAACCAGATCTGCTAAATAAACACTCAGATTGCAACTACCTTCATTACAGAATCACTCATCAAAAGTTCTTCAGCTAATAACTCGAACTCTGATGTAGCATAGTGTCGTAGACCAAAGCTCAACACCCCACCCTGCAATATACTTATTTGTCCTTGCACCTATATAATGAATTAAAAGAAAACAAAGTTCAATAGATGCTCTTCACATACCAAATGTTTTTTTTTTTTTCAAAACAAATTAAAATGGAAAGGGCACAAGGATCACAATGTGAAGGGAAGATGTGGATGAAACGAACGCAAATAAAGATAGAAAATCATTTATAAAAACTTAATAAAGAGACAGAGGCATCCTCAGAGAAGCAGCCAAGCCAACCCAAAATATAAAGAGGATGCCAACATCCTATTAAGTAGTATATCTAATCAGGACATCACCCCTACCCCTAAATACATTAAAATTTAGAATATTATACAATATAATTCTTATTAACATCATGAAACCTCCTGAACTATGAAAAAAAATAAAAGCCAAGATCAGAGGAACAACAAATATGGATTTAAATGACAAACAATGAACTTAACATGTCAATATAAGCAATATATATCAAGCAAACGGATTCAAGGTATATGATAACACAATAAGGACAATATAAAATACTAGAACCTATGCATCATTCAGGACATTGAATGAAAGAGGGGAGATCAGAATTTTTCAGGTACATAGCTAGTCAAACTAGGCAGTGGGTAGAAGTAGAAACAACACTAAATTATCTTTTCGAAAAGTTCCTAGTTCAATCAGATATTTTGAGTTTCATTAGAGGTACTCAAATGTTGCATATGCTCATCTTGAGTTTACTATCGAAATTCTATATGGTTGTTTAGATATTGTTTGATATTATTAAGATATTGTTAGATATTGTTAACCACAATATCAAACAATATCTTTTGTTTATTCTGTTTATTTTCAGTTACTCTTTTAGTTGTACTTCTCTCTATTATAAATAGATTACCCTATGTGTGGTTTATACACAAAGGAGATTAATCTCAAACCCTATTTCCTCACTATTCAACAGATATAAAAAAGTTGAGAATAGAAGTTAAACAACAAGGGGAGCAAGAAAGTCAAGTGTGTCAGCAAACAAGATAATAAAAAGAAGTTTTAACAGAAAATTAGCATTGAGATTATCCAACTAATGTATAGATCTTCATTTGACAAACCTGTACACGACTCCAAAGCAATGGAACTGTGGCCCGAGCCCTATTTCGAACATATACATTAGTCCAAAGGGGTTGATTTGGAAATTCCAAGAGAAGTGTCTCTGTATCAGTTGTCATGTTATAGTTATCAACTATAAGACTTCGAGGGACTGCATCATAAAGAGTCCCAGCAGCACCTGCATTTTCAGGACAGCCAACGCTCCTACCACCTGAAATAAGAAATCATGTGCACAGAAGTCAGCATTATTGATGATAGATTTGAATCCCTACAAGCTAACACAACAACAAAGTCATAATAGAATTTCAAGCAACTGACTATAGGCCAAAGCTATACTCATTTAACTAATTGAACACTTCTTATCCTACCTACCAGAGTTTACCAAAAAATAGATCCAGGGTGATGAATAGCCTAGAGAGTACACCACCAAATCATATTTACCAGCTCAAGTAAAACTTAATTTTAGAGAGCAACCTAAGTTTAATTTCTAAATGCTGAAAAATGTTAGCATTGATTTGTAAACGTTTTCCCTATCACCCAAAAAATCAATGACAGAGCGTGGCATGTAACTCTAATCAGTGCTCCCTATATTAATGTTACCCTATTTATTTATTATACGAGGTTAATCATATATGAGTACTCAATTTGCAGGGAAGGATTTCTGTAAAGTATATTCGGAAACAGCAAAGCACTGCACAAGCTAAGATTCCTCACCATGTACATATATTCTGGGCTCATCATGCCTGCTGAACACATCAACTGAAACCCTGCCACCTCCACCACCAGCAAAACCATTACCTCCACAAGCACTTATAATCCCATTGCCAGTCCTGCGCATTTACAGAAAAAAAAAATCAATGGAAAAGCATAAAACTAGAATCATTACATCGCATTTCAATTGCAATCAAGCACGAAACTAATTATTAACATTCTATTATTTGCATTTAACTGTACACATCAAGGAACATAAGGGATTATGGAGTAAAGATCCTTCTACTGTATATTTTATATATACATATTCATCAGCTGAGTTTGGTAGTAAGCTTCAGTCAGTTTCTTACCAAAATATAAGTTATAGTTCGTAATTTGAACACATACCATCACACTATTTGTCATGTTGATATTATACTTAGATAACCACATCTCAAATGCAGTAACTCGGAAACAAATAAACAGTTGTTTACGAAGAACCTTAGATACAAGATTTCAAAGAAACAAATATAGTAACTAGTCATATCACTCATGTCCCTAGTATAACCAGAGAACATATATACAAGTTTATGTTAGCCAAAAAAGGAAAATAAATAAGTAAATAGACAAAAAATATTACATTCTGTAAGCCTTGATGTAAATGCTGCCTCCAGAGCCACCTCCACCCTTTGTCCCTCCAGAGCCCCCATCAGCCAAAACACTTGCATTCATCTCAACAATTTGATTAAGAGTCAATCTCACAAGCCCCCCTCCCAACCCACCATAGTCACTCTCCTTGGTCGTCGACCCTCCACGGCTCCCAAAACTGTAAGGGTTCTGCAGCGAGGCCCAGGAGTACGCATCACCTCCCCAAACGTCCTCCGGAAGCTTCGTCATGTCGACGAGACAACTGGCACCCCTCCCGCCGTGACCCCCGCCCCCGCCATCAACCCCCTGCGGAGTGCCGCTCGTCTGAGGCGGAGGCTGTCCCGCCATACCTGTCGTGTTCACCACCGACTCATTCCCAAAAACAGCATTCTCCGCCTCCAACTCAAAAGCCCCGGTCACAATCGACGAGTTGCTACCTAAACTAAAATTACCAGTGACGTTAACGGTTACCATGCACCCAGAAATCTCGCAGTGGAACCTCACCCCAGGGAGGATGTTAAAATTGCCCTTCCCTGCTATGTACACATCGCGGGTGAGGTTCACGTCGTTCACGATCTTACACGTCGTGTCCAGAGTCCCGACTCCGCCAAGATCATCCACGCACGACACCGAAGGCGGATGTGGTGGCGGCGGCGGCGGAGCGGGCGGCGAGTAGTCCTGATGAAAGAGGTTCCAATCCAAATCAGTCACCGAAAATTCACGCTCCGACTCCGATTCGCCACTGGCGAAGACGGCGAAGACGGCGACAACGACGACGAAGACGGTGAGGAATCGGAGGCGCCGGAAACGAAATCGAGCCATTCACCGGCGTCGTCAGGAGTCATCACATTGAAGGAACTGAGATTCGGATTTGCGAAGTGGAATTTGATTCAGAAACCAATGCAATGACCCATCGCAGTCACCACCAATAGAAAAACAACAATATTAAAAAACCCTAGTCTCTCTCTTCGTGCGGAAATTAAATTCAATCTCACTGCAAAAAAAAACCCTAGAAATCTCTGGTAGACGCGCGGGGAGAAGTAAAAGATCGAAGCGAATTGGAGAGAAGAACCACGATAGGGAGGAGGCAGCTTTATTTAATTGTCATGGTAAAGGGGGAAGGGGATGTTACGATGCGGTGAGGTTCATGTGAAACCGCTACTTTTGACTCTCGATCTTTACCTAGCCTTACGTGGGCGAATCTTTTTGGGCGAGGGTTTGTGATTAGTTTGGAGAGTAGCATTGGGGATGTTATCTCGCTTTACCGAACCTCACGCCGATTTAAAGGAGCGTCAGAGACACACCCCTAATTAATGAAAATAATTAACGGACGAAACCCATGTGGAATGTGGAAGTGAAAAGCGACAAGAAGGGTAGGTTACTGCTAGCGTAGAGAGTACGCGCCTGCGCGTGGGGAAACGCCGCGAGGAGAGAGGAGATGGCGACGGCGCCACCGTGGAGTTGAGGTTGGAATGATGAATGAAGGCGTTTTAGCAAGTGATCGCTTAAAAAATATTATTGGTGGTGGATGAATGGATGGTTTCTGAAAAATAAAAAAATAAAAAAATACACGTATATGCTTTTTGCATGTACCAATGCACTGTGGAAGAAGCTTGCTCAGCCAGCTGCTCCAAAATTGCCCTTACTCTTACATCTTTCTTATCGACTACGATTACAAAGAATGCGGACAAGTATTGTATTAGTGTTACAACTAATATTTCCAAGAGTAGTGATATTTCATATAACTTTATTATATACTGATTTAATAAAAATAAAAATAAAATAAAACTATTATTATAATATTAAAACATAGTTGTTTATAGATATGGATTGTGAAAGTATCATTTTCTTATTTTTAAATTATGGTGCTATAATATTTTTAAAAATGGATTCATCATCGAATTAATTATCACGTAAAATCAGGATTTAAAGATTTATCAATATTTAATAGGTTGCAAGATTTAATGAAATTTTATTTTTATAATATAATAAATTTATTAATAATAATATTTTTATAAAAAATAATGATAAAAATTATTATCATATAAGTTATAATTAAAATTTTAAATATAATTTAAATAATTGTTCAAATATAATAAAATAATTGATATTTAACATTCATGTAGTTAATATAAGATACAAAAATTAAATTATATTTTTCATAACAAATTATGTTAAAAAATTTTGATTTAAATATATATTTTACTATAATCTATTTGATCTAAAAATTTAGTTGAATTTATCAATTTTTTTATTTTATCCTAATTTAATTACAATACAATTATTTTAAAATAATAAAGTAATTTCTAGTCCGATTTTCTTTCAAAATAATAATTAGAATACTACATTCAAATAAAACCTTTTAGAATTTGTTTGTATTACCTTCTCTGTAAATATTTATAAAACATATAACAATAATATTTTTATTTATATAAAAAATAATTTGTTACAATTCTATTTAATATTTTTATGCGCTTCTTCGTAAGACTACTCCAACTCAACATGATTTTGAACCTATTATTTCTTGATACCATTTTAGATTCTTAACTGAATAATAAAAATTTTACAACCAACGTGTACCAAATATTGAATGGTAAAAATTAAATATTAAACTCCAATTTTAACACATATTTCACAAAAAAATATATAAGATAACATTTTAGATATTATATCCTAATAATATTGATGTATATTATTTTTTGGTATCCAAAGCTTTATTTTGGTATCTGATATTGCCCTTTTTATCTATTATATTATTATTATTATTATTATTATTATTATTATTATTATTATTATTATTATTATTATTATTATGTAATCAAATTCTATTATCATAAATGATAAGTGTTTCATTAAATTAAAAAGAAAAATTATCTCCTCTTCTAACTACTTCTATGCCACAATTTCTCTCACACTCTTTCATATTATAATCCTCTTGTAAATTATCCACTGTTATTTAAGTCATGTAATCTCTTATAATTAATTATTATTTTTAAATATGGAAAGTCCAAAGCGCCTCTTTTTGTCCCTGATATTAATAATAATGTATTTGATAAATAGAATACATAATTTTTTAAAATATAAAAGCTAAACAATAGAAGATAATGTCTGCAGAACGCAAATTTGAGCAATTTGGACAAGGCGATTTAAATATTTATAGTTTCTGGTTGTTTTAAGGAAAATCAGTGGAAAAATATTTTACGAAATTCATACATTTAAAAAAATATATATATATATTTATAAACCTAAAAGAAAACACAAAATTAATTATAACATCAATCAACCCTAAACTGAAACTAAAAACATATCTAAATCAATATATATCCACAAATAATTTAAAGGGACAAATGAAACACAAGAATATGCATGCCCAAACCTCATCATTTTTATTTGTATAGTTTACAAATAAATGACAACATCAAATCATAATTTATAAACTATCTTAATATGTGAATTGAGGATTAACCTTATAAAATATTTTCAACTTTTAAGTACTCATTTAAATATAGTTTATCTGGTAGACATATTTTCTCCTTAATAATTTTACCACTCATTAATTATTAATTACTAATCTAGCCAATAAATTTCATAATCTTTCAATTACTTGGATTTAATCTCAAAAGATTAAATACATGAGATAATTTCATTCACATAAAATGTAAACAAAAAAATTAGTTAATACAAAATAAGTAATATCGTTAGCATTCAGACACAATAACATAAAATAAATAAATAAAAATAATAACGAAAATTATACGTGAACCACTCATTCATATCTGACATCGAAGGGGTCGGCCGAGCGGTACTATATATTCTCTGTCAGTAAAAAAATTCACCCGTTATTATCGGACATTAATTTAAAAAATATTTATAGATATGTTTATATTTTAGATATTTGTTATTTGTATTTTAAATATTATTTTAATATTATGGTTTAAAATATATTTTAATAGTTTTTTATTAGAAAATAAAATTAAGTAACAAAATATTAATTTTAATAAATAGTAACATAAATAATGCATTTTATTAATATTAAATTTTTAAATAACTTTTAATTTCATAAAATTAAATAAAAATGAAAATATATAAATTATAATCCTAAATAATACTTCAATAATTATTGTTTTTTTCATTAATAAATATTTTAATATTTTGATTTTAAAAATATTAAATAATTTATTTAGTAGCAACATGTTTAAATCTGTCACGTTAACAAACGAATAATTAAATACCCGAATCCATTAGCTACTAATATTTAAATAACGGTAGGTACAAATTTTATTTTTGTTTACTTTTTTTATCCTTATTCGTAATCAAATACACTTTTGTCAAATTATTTTAACGGTAGCTAGCTACTAATATTTAGGAAACGGATCACAGATAATCGATAACGTTTTTATTTTATCCCTGTTCATAATCAATTACACTTTTGTCAATTTATTTTAATCATATAATAAGTTTTTTTTTTGTTGATGCTTATTTATATTTATTATTATTATTATTGTTAAATGGAAGTTATAAAATAAATGTATGAAAAGAGCAGTTGTTGGTGTCCTTGACTAATACCACAATTTATGATACAACAGAAAACTTGTTGCACCCGTCTCTTTGAAAAAAAACATCTAGTAAATCTCAAGTCTCACATGCTCTTCACTCTTTTTCTGTTCTTTTTTTTTTCCTCTGACGCTCAATGCTTACACTTATTCCTTTCTCTCTCTCACACACACTCACATAGATGACAAGAATCATACTAAACTATTATATGGTATTTCAGTTTGTAAATCAAATGATAACATCAATCTTTCTTTATATAAATACCAACAAATACCTCAAACATGTTCTTCCTAATTTATGGCTACCATTGTTATTTTATAGAACCTTAACGCTGAATGGTGGTGGGACAAACCCCAAAGACAGAGCGGAAAAATATTTTTGCTGGGAATTAGGCACGAAAATGATTATTATATAAATAAAGCTGCGACCGGGTGCGGGTCAAGTGTTTCTTTCTAGAACCATGACGGAAAATGGGAAGGAACAGTGATTTAGAAGAAATTTCTAGGTGCCTAGACTTTAGGGGTATTGAGACCTGCATTCCAAATCATCGTAACTCCATATCAACAAAACCTTAACGACCCACGTGTCAAGTTTACGTGATTCAGATCGCTGCCCGACCATTGGATGATTCGCCGAATCTAAGTTAGATGGAACTGTAGAAAGAAAACCTTAATGGGCCTTGCTACGGATGTCATAGCCTAGGAATGAGGTAAGATAAGATTACGATGCATCAAATCAAATTATTGAAAATAATGTGACATGTCGTTGATTTAAGACATATAGAATATAAAATAAATGGATACATACATGTAAAATTGAATAAAGAGAGAATGGGTTTGTTTGAGTCAGAGTCAAGAAGTTGAACCTGAAGCTGAAAGTCATTGAAGGGCTGCTTCGGGTTTGAGTTCCATATCCCCCCATTTAAGCATTTGATTTCTTTCTAGTACATAATATGCATCTTTTAACTACTTAAACCGCTTCCTATGATTTCACTCCACCACCTTCCCTTTCCACGCCATTAAATCAAACCAATATCGTGTCATAGTTTTGTCTTTTGGCCTTTTCAAACCCAATATCGTGGTTTCATGGATTCAGAACCAGCACCCCAGCTTGAGGAGATAGAGCAAGAGGGTGTCGGTGGAGGGACCATGAAGATGGAGGTGAAAAATAAAACCAAGAAGAAAAAGAGTAAAATGAGTTCTTATTTCCCCAGGTTTGGTTGTTTCAGAATCGAACATGATGTCTCGGGGGGAGGTTTTGATATTGAGGTTGTTGATGCGTCTGGTCAGCGTCCCACCCCTACCCACTTGATCATAATGGTTAATGGTCTCGTTGGCAGGTTTGCTTAACTTCTCTTACTTTTAACTTTTAACCTTCTCTGCACTATTTGTGATTTGTATAACTGGTATGGTTTGCCTCTAATATGTACCAAAACGTATATGACAGAATGGTGTGTGATCTATTTGATTAGTCCTTTTGTTGAGTAATGTAGCAATACCTCTTTGATGCAGCGCTCAGAATTGGAAATTTGCTGCAAAACAGTTTCTGAAAAGGTATCCAGAAGATGCTGTTGTACATTGTAAGTTCGCACAAATACAATTCTGATTGCCTCCTTTGTCTATTTAAGCTATATCTTCTTTCTGATGTGTGGTATAGCATTGAATCAGTGGAACGTCGATAAAATATTTTCTGTTTTTACCAAGACTCTGATCCAAAAATCGTTGTAATAGTATTACACTTTTAACTAATCAGAAATGGTAGAGTATGATTGGATTAAAGTCATACTATATTGTTAAGTAACTCCATATAGGAGATAATGGGCGCCGGTTGAAGTTTATCATGAATGTTGGTGAAAATGTTTCTTATGTGGTGAGATTCATTCTTGTGCATTTACCGAGGTGCTTCTTGTCTGCAAACTAGAAGCAACCTTCATCTCGTGGAATTTTTTAAACGGGCTAAAGAAAGTGAAGCAGTTTGAATCATCTCCATTCTAAATTTCTGTTCTCTATTGCACTCTTTCACAGCAAAGTTGTTCCACCATTTAATGGAATGCATAACTATTGTGCAATGCAGGCAGTGAACGCAATTCTTCAATGTTGACATTTGATGGGGTTGATGTAATGGGAGATAGACTAGCAGAGGAGGTGTGTTATGGCTTTGACATTCACTTGTTTGATCTTTGTAATCATTTCTTGCACACGCAGTTAATTAGTTTTTGCCCTTCAAAACATACTAATCTTGTGGTTCTTAAGGTGTTCAATTAACTTCAACTCTCTGGCAACAAACCCAGAAAGATAAAAGATATCTGTTTTCTTCTCTTTTCTCAGGTTATATCAGTTATAAAACGTCACCCAAGTGTTCAGAAAATTTCATTTGTAGGTCACTCTTTAGGAGGCTTGGTGGCAAGATATGCAATAGCCAAGCTTTATGGGAGAGACATTTCTATGGAAATTTCTGTGGGGAATGGACATTGTGAAAGTCATGTTTCAGATCAAGAATGTCATGATAAAAAATATGAAGGAAAAATTGCAGGACTAGAGCCCATAAATTTCATTACATCGGCAACGCCACACCTTGGTTCTAGAGGGCATAAACAGGTAATTCTTTGGTAGCTTTAGCCTTTAATATTTTCTGTTTATGACTTTATGGGTTCTCTGATATGACTTCACTGCAAAAATTGCAATTGGAATGCTTTATTGTGTGAGATGGGAAATGTTATTTGTAAAATGAACTGTATAACTATTCATACAACCAAGAGCTATAAAAACAAAAATAAATAGAAGAGATGTAATGAATGATATAAGAGAGAGATAGAGATATAGAATGTTGTTGTATAAATTGTTGTGTAAATTGATTAAATTGCTTCACGAGATAAATTAAAAAGCAGAGTGCAAGAGCATTGTTCTATACACATAAGTGCCTTACTAAGATGAGTTGATGACGACATAGTTTGGAATTATTAATGCTTCAGGTTCCTATGTTTTGTGGATTTTACTCTCTGGAGAAAGCAGTGTCTCGTGTTGCAGGGGTTTTTGGTAAAACGGGAAAACATCTATTTTTAACCGATAGTGACAATGGGAAACCCCCTCTTCTTCTCCAAATGGTTCGTGACTCCGAGGACATGAAATTCTTGTAAGAATTTATGGTTTGCTTTGTTTGATTTTTTTAGCTTTTCTGGGTCAATAACAAATACCATTCTACACCTCTTTCTATATAGGTCTGCTTTACGCTCCTTCAAACGCCGCATTGCCTATGCAAATGTTCGTTACGACCGTATCCTTGTCTTTTAGTCATAAGCCCAGATGAATTTGAAGTCTTAATCTGTCAATTTAATTCTTGATTTTGATGCCAATCAATCAATTTAATGTTGTCTGATTCAAAAATTAAATTACCCACAAATTATTTACACAAACAACTTAACACTTTAAATAGAGCTTGTTGGATGGAGTACATCATCTATCAGACGTAGAAAGGAACTCCCAAAGGTAATTATCAAGATTCTGCAATATAATATATTGATATAATATAATTCAATATAAATTGTGTCTTCGTCAATGCTTTTTTTGTTCAGCGCCGGCATCTTTCTAGACACGAGAAGTACCCTCATATTGTAAATGTAGAGACAGCAAAATCTACTTGTGTTGCTGAGGAAATTCCTGCTGAATCCAAAGTGAATGGTCGATCCAGTAAACTTGATTCGGAAGGTATTTCACTTTCAAGATTTTTGAACTGATGAGGTTTATTTTGTAGTGTGTAATCTGCTGATGTCTAAAATATTTTTGGCATACATACCTACTATGATAAACATGACAAGTTCTTGTCTGTTGTGTGGCCTGGGGTGGCCAGTGCTTTGATCATGAAGCTCAAAAGATGAGCATTTTTGGACTTTTGTGAGATCGGATGGCCCATGAAAGAGAAAATGAAAACAATAAAACCAAAGTTGATGTCGTTTGAAGATTGTTTAAGGAAACGTATTGACTTTGTTTAAGTTAATAATTCGTCTTATATTAAGGTATTTGGTGGAGTGACATCCTGACACTTTTTGTCTTCCTTTCTGGAGGGCAGTTAGATGTGAGAGACATTTTTTAACCAGCGAATCAGATCTTTATATGACATATACCATGATGCGGTTGGTTAAAAGGAGGAAATTTCAAAGAAAAAAAATTGTGTCTGCATGAGCTAAAAGATCACTGTTTACTGTGACTGTGGCACTCTGTGATGTAATTTTGAAAACATTATTACGTAGTTCAAGATCATTGCTTTCATCACTAATCTAAACATGACATAAATTACACAGAGACTAGTTGAGTTGAGACATTAGACAACGTGAATGCATGAATTTTTATTACTTATAATTTTTGTACGAGTACTTATACCCCACTTAGAATTTGCTGTAGTGATTAAGAACTTTGAGAACAAATCCTGAATGTTGCTTTTGAAATTTAACTACATGTGTCTGCCAATTCGGATTGATCATAAAGATATGATGGTTTATATTTTGGATCAATATTAAAAATGTGTAGCATTTAACGACACTTGTAGAGGAAATTATCAGAAGCTTAACAACAATGAGCTGGGACAGAATTGATGTCAGCTTCAGTGGCAGTAAGCAGAAATATCTGGCACATAGCACCATTCAGGCAAGTTTCTGCTTCTTGAAACACATCATGTAGGAACATAATCCGTTTCTGAACTTAAAACTGCATTTTATGTTTTGAAAATCATAGTGATGATAGCCTGGTGTATTACCCTTGTTTTAAGTATTAACAATGCCCATTGTATGGTTGAAATTTGTTTATAACAGGTGAATACTTACTGTATGAATTCTGATGGAGCAGATGTGATTCAACATATGGTTGACAGTTTTCAGATATAGTTTCCGATATTGCCAGATTCTAAAAGATAAGGCAATGCCATTTTTTGTAAGATGGAGTGCGCTTCATCACTTTTTGCCACTGAAATTGAAAAGATTACAGACTAAGAAGTTTTAGAGAGGAAAAAAATGGGCAAGATAAAATGAGGCTTATAATGTTCTTGTGCCCGTTCTATTTTTTGACTGCTAAAAAAAAGTTAAAATTGTTTACTCTTTCAAATTTCAATTTTATTTTTAAATTAAATACAATAGTTGTAAAACATTGTTTACAGTAGTGTAACTATTGTTTCTGCCAAAAGTATTTCAAAATAAAATTACTTTAATTTGATTTGAAATCAAATAATTTTTTATTAGAAAAGTAAGGAACTGTTCAATTCAGAGGCCCGTAAGGTCATAATGAAGCCCAACTGGCCCACCGCTCCATCAGCTTAAGTTGTAATGAACAGAGAAGTGGAAGGAGATGCATTAATATTTAGTGTACTCTTCCCAGTAACATAATTACCCAATACTGTATAAGTATACACAAATGATTTATGCTATTTCTGCAATATAAGTCCGTGGTATACATTAGAACAAGGTATTAAAATAATTATACAAGAAATAAAATAAGCAATATATAATGAGAAGAGGTAAGCTAAATTAGTCTAAAGGTCCATAAATTATTTGATATTGTTTTAATTAAGTTTTGAACTATTTTCTTTAATAGAGTCTTTGATCTGGTACATATTAATTGTATAAAAGAATATATTGGATTGAATGAACCTAGGAATGTGAATGTGAAAATACTGGTAATGAAAATATTGACCTTTGTTGAGGTAATACTTTTAGATTCATGACAACTTAGATTTTTGTGTTTAATTTTTCACAAAGATATAGGGAGATTCGATTAAAAACAAATGCAACGACCGAATTTAATAAATAGTTAAGAAACTTGAGTAAAATTTGTCAAATAGTTAGACAAAAATAATTTAAGAACTGTTGCAAGAATTACAATACCAAGGATAAATATTGCATGCAATAATAACGCAATACTAAGAGCTTTTACAATTTATATTGTTATTACCTCTGTAAAATATTTCTAATTCAGGTATAAGACTAAATAATGCTCTCTAAATTCCTTCCACATGAATCAAAGGCGTTAACACCTGCATAATAATGAATGCCATATTATTATGGTGCCTTGATTTTTGTTGGTAAGTTAAAATCAATCATCTGACAAATAATTACCCACAAGTTGGCATTCTCTACAGTAAATCTTACCCTCCGTGACTTCCTTTGGAGATTTTATAAGCCAGGTTTGACATGTTCAAGGTTGAAACAGGCCTGAGCATTTTTTTTTTGTCAACTTCAGCAGAAAATAAAAGCTAAAGTAAGAAAACCAATGAAATATTTCTGGACTGTGAACTTGGTTATGTGTTTTGTGTTTTTTTGTTTTTTTTTTCATGTATTTTGGTATTCGAAAGTTTTGGTGTGTGGTTAGCATGGCATGGTCATTACTTCAAGTCTGAACGCTGCCCTCAGTTCAAGATTTTGTCCCCATATGACAGTTTGGATTTTCGGGGCTCGATGATCGAGGCACAGAGTGTGTGTGTCTGAGTTAGTGAGGTCCTTTGTTTACCCTTTCCTTCTCTCAGAGTCCAACATTCATAATACACCTTTTGCAGTGCATTTTATCAATTGATGGGGAAATAATAAGGGTAATAAAAGAGGTGAGAGTAAGTGATTGTCTTTGTATTATAGGGGTGACATTCAATATCTGACCCAAGTTAGGACAACTTTTTCAGAATTTCAGCTGCATTGCTTTCTCTACTGCCACATATCCCACCCTTCTCTCACACTCTCTCTTTGTCACACTGTTCTTTTCCACCATCATTTTTCTTCTATCAAGCTATTAGTAGTATTTAGTTACACTCGAAACAATTGACTGAATCCTTTCTTCTGCAGTCCCTGATGAGAAGATGGGGTTAACTCAAGTCTATGTCTCCTGCCACAACTATAGACAAACCCTCGTATGCCTCATTCTCTTTGCTATTGTATTCACGGCCAAAGGTTGCCCCGCTTCTATTCTCTCATCTCACTCTTTCTTCTTCGTCTTCTTCTTTTTACCGAATTAACTTTGCTTGTCTTAATGTGTATATGCATGCAGCAAGAGCAATTTCTTCCGATCGTATAGAAGCTGCCCAGGTACAAAATCATGAGTGAATTCTTCTGGTTCTATATGTTCCAATGTGTTGTTAGTATGTATTGACATAAATAGTATTGAATACTTGAATATACATACGCAGAAGTACACGAAAAAGTGGGAACCAATGGTGATGGCAAAACCTCAGATAGGGTCTAGACCTCCCAAGTGTGAAAAAAGATGCAGTACTTGTGAACATTGTGAAGCAGTTCAAGTGCCGGTCGTACCTCAACTTCAAAGTCATAGAAGTCATTATTTATCAGCTAAAGCAACCATAGTTGTTACTTACTCATCAAGAGGTGATGACCTTTCAAATTACAAACCAATGTGTTGGAAATGCAAGTGTGGGGATTACCTTTACAATCCATGACCTGAAGGGGGACAAACACCCATATATATTGTATATTGTAGAAATTTGGCAATTACGTGCCTTCTTCTTTGCTTGAACTTTTTTTTTTGTCATTTCTACTTATTTTTCTTTATTCTTAGAATGAAAGCTATTATAAAGGTTTACTTTCTCTAATCATATACATTATCATATGGTATAAACCTCTGGGTATAATTTTTCCCTACAGATATATTATATACTTTCCTTTTATGTTGATATTGAAAGGAAAAATAGGATGTTAAGAGAAAATGCATGGTGGGTTGGTGGTATTTTGGTAGATCCATTGCAAAAACTAGATACAAAGACTAGAAGAGGAAGAGAAGTAATGTGTCAGATGGTCTTGTTTTCGTATGCTACAAGATTAAGATATTTCAGCATCAGAATTCAGAGAGGGTGAGCTAATGCCACCAACCTCGAAGGGATAAAAACATCCATCAATACCATAACACGCATCCATAAACGTGCCAACCTAGGGATCTCATTTATTCACATAGTAGTAGTATTTTTTTCCCTTTCAGATTTAGTTTAGCTGACACAAATATTTCAGTGATGAAATAAAATTGTGAAGCGTGCAGTGCAATGCAGTGCATTAATTAAGTGTTAACTAAGTGTAGAGAGTGAGGGGTTATCAGGATAGAAAGGGTAGTAATGAAAGTGGCATGTGATCCATTGAATTGAAGAAAGTGCAATTATGTGGTTTTGGGGAACACAACCATGATGGAGGAAAAAGATTGGGTGAATTTTTGTGAACCAGTTGCATTCATTCATGAGTCATTTACTTGGGTTGGTTATCTCTTGCGGTGCAGAGACTGTAGCGTGATATTTAATGTGAGTCTTATTAGCTGCTTGCACTGTACCTTTTTATCACCACTCATCATCGTCATCCATCACCATCTTTTATTTATGCTTTGCAAGCCTGTCATCACTACTTCCTAATAAATTCAAACTTCAAACAAACCTTGTCGTATCATGGAATCAAAATTTGTTAACACGTTCTCTTTTTGAAAGTGAATAGTTTGGAGAATGATAAAAGTATTGATTAAAAAATTAATACATAACAGAACTATGGTAGAATTATAATAAAGTTATTTTTTAATTTTCCAGATATTACAATTTTGATTTCATATATACTTTATAAATTTATTTCAGTTTAACCCTAACATACTCATTTAAAGATTGAATCAAAATTATAAATTTTCAAATATCTAAAACTAAAATCACAAAAAATAATAATTTCAAAAAATATGTTTTTGCTCTATTTTATTTGGACAGCGTAGATTTGTCCACTCGCATTTGCCCCTTTTTCCTACAAAAGATGCAAAGATATTCGTATGTCTGTATAAGAGACAAATATAGTGAAATAGAAAAAAAATTATTTTAATTAAAAAATGAGAAAAATAAGTTTCTTTTTATATATATAAAGGAGAAAAATTAACCAGGTTAGTTAGTATGTCTGTACAATAGAGAAATACAGTGAAATGGGAAAAAAAAACCATTTAATCAAAAGATGACAAAAAAAAGTTTCTTTTTATATATATAAAAGAGAAAAATAAACCAGATTAGTTGGATGTACGATTATGTACCATCATTTACTCCTTTCTGTGAAAAAGAAACTCGGGTCAGAAAAAAAAATTATAAATAAAATTTAAAACTTTCCCCCACTTTTTAAACTATTTTCAGTTTCAATTCAATTTCTTCCCCTCTCTTCTTATTTTGTCTCTTTGTAAGAATTAAGAAATAGCTCAATGTTTTGTCTCTTCAGATTTGATTATTGTTATATGAGTAAGAAATAACTTAATGTTTTGTTAAAATAAAAAGGAAAAGATGAAAAATTATGTTATACAAATACGAGGTCATATAAATATTAAATTACAATTTTAATCCCTTTAATTTTTAATTCACAATTGTGTCCTTCCATTTTTATTATTTAGTCTCAAGTATTTTATAATTATTTTTTTTATCTTGAATTTTACATACATTTTATTTATTTTATGTTAATACAATCGAAATCTATCATATTTATTGAATATGTTATTAATAAAATATTTAACTAATATAAAAAATAAATATTAGATTTTTTTAAGTTTAAAAATTAAAATTGAAAAAAAAACTAAGAGATCACCAATCAAAATTGCGAAGAAAATAAATTTGCAACCTAATACATATTTATATGATACAGAAACATTGCTTTAAAAAATTCCTTAATTAATTTTTGTTTTAATTTCTTTATTTTCTTTTCAATCTCAACTCAGTTAAAAAAATATATATATATATATATATATATATATATATATTATTTGTTTAAATATTTCACTTTTTCTTTATCTTACAGAATGTCTATATTTATAATTATAAATCCTTTAAATTGATGTAGAAGATTTTTATTCAAGTTTTAAACTTGTATGTAGAAGATACCAAGTGTATAGTTATTGGTGAAGTGATGAAGCCACAACATCATGTAAATGGTAGGTTAAAACTTAATGCATACAATAAATGTATTACAAGATACTCCTTTTTAATTCTCAATTTTCTTTGAGAATGTCCACTTATTAATATTATAGAGAATCTTTATATTTTTTATGATGATGGGTTTATTTTTTTATTTCAATGTTGATTGATAGAATTAGAAGAGATAGTTTAAACTTTAATACCTAGTCCTTTTCTATTGAATTTTATGGGTTCCAGAAAAATCAATGTAAAATCTATTATGTTAGTTTTTACGATTCTAATTTATTTATATATTTTAAAATATATTATTCAAAATGCAAAATAAAAATTAATATGTAAATTATATCTTTGGTTAAGTGTACAATTTAAAAATTCATACAATAGTTTCTTATAATTTAAATGATTTAGTTTATTATTTTGAAATTATGAATTTATAACAAAGAAAAAAATGTAGCTTGGCACTTCACAATTTAATAGATACATATATTATTAATCTTGTCTAAGTTATTGAATCTAAATTATTCACTAAATAAAAGTATGTTACGATTTTAATTAGAAGAAATTGGAACAGAGGCAAATTTTGCAAGGTGATTTATATTCTTAACATAATCCTTGAAATTGTATCACGACTTTATTATACAAAGGAGAAACTAATTGAATAGTGTAAATAATTAAAATTTAGAAAAAGGTGTACAAGTAGCAAGAAAGGGACTAATAATAGGGTATACCCTGGCATTAAAAACGAAAAATCATTCTAACAAACAACATTCAACAACACCTATAGAAAATACCCTTACCTGCGACAAACGACGTCGTGTGCATGCTCTTTTATGCCACAAAGCCAAAACACGCACGTGCATCACGCATGGCTAGCCTTGCCCGTGACCACCATATGTCATTCACGAGCTTTTGCCATCTTCTCTTTCTCTCTCTCTCAATTTCAATTGTGAACCTTCACCAAACACAGCATCAAAGATACCACAGATATGGATATGGTTCATTTTCTTACTGACATGGTTTTTCACGTTATCACATACCCTCCATCCTCTTTCCTCTACTTAGTTATTACTACTACTAGCTTCTACCAGCTTTAACTATTTACAATAGTTGCACTCAACTTCAGACCATCAACTCTTCTGGCTCCCAGTTATCCTCGAGGCATGTATATGAACTTTCTCTCTTTTGCTTTCATTGTGTGTCTGTTTTTTTTTTAAAGTATAATACTATTACTACTTGTCCACAAAGCTTGGACTTGAACCATGTGCTAACCAATCTCACCATTATATTCCAAGTTTGAAGTAGCTAGCAACTAACAAGCCTGTTTTAAAACGGATTTTGCTGCTTAAATGTTAATGGATTTGGAAGACTTTCTTTAATAGTGAACTTGTTTATACAATCCACTCGTAAAGTGGAGGCTAAAGAATTGAAGCATGGATTTCCCTTGAGGAAAGAGTGGTGTATAGGATGTGTGTGATTTCTATTTTCGTAACGTGCAACTAAACAAAGTTGTTCAGACAGACAACTAGTAGAGTGCAAGGCGCAAAACAGAGGGTGGAGTTGAAAGAGAGGTCGAACATGGTAAAAAGAGATAAGAAACACTTGTTTTGGAATTTCAAAATTTAATGGATTTTGATTGGTCAAGATGAGTAGTGTGGAATTCTTTAAGACAATAGTTTTAAAAAGCAAAAAGTGAAAAGTGCATCAAACATGCCCTTCATAGCTCACTTTTTCCCATTGGGTTTATGAACCTAGAAGAAGTTTAGCAGAAGGAAAAACAAATTATTTATGGAATTCCTTATTTCCAATTTGTTGATAACTGTATTTCAAGCAAGCAAGGATCTAGTAAAATACTGATTTAACTGAACAAAGTTAAATGTGTGGAAAAAAAAAAGGAGAAATAACACTTCTGTCATATTGAGATAGAAACTTATTAATCAATTTCTTTAGTTGCTTTACTCTGCTCAATATGACATAATATTATTATCTTATGGCACAGAATGCTGAATTATTTTTTCTACAGGCATGACTTATATGTTTACTCTGTGTAAGACTTTGGCTTATGCTTGTTTGACATTTTTATTTTATTTTTTTCTGATATGCTTTTAGTCACACCAAATTCTTCCTTGCACAGATTCTGCCAACACGTGTTGTTCTTTAATGAGTAAACCATGTTGAAGCAATTATCAAACAGAAATCAGAGGACCAAGAGATTTAAGGTAAAACAAGGTTTTAAAATATTTACTTTGATTGCTGTCGGCATATGGTTGCTTTACCAACTCAAACAATACTCACATGATGAGAATCCGTATGAGGAAAGCTCAGCAAAAATATTTGAAAATCTGAAGGCTGGTCCTGAAACAAAAATACTTGGAAGAAAAGGGTTGAAACCATGGTCAAATGATAAACTGTTTGAATTGATGGAGGATACAGAAGAAAATGAACATGAAAGGAATGATAGCATTATTGGACATGATGGAGAAAGAATTGAAGAGGAAGAGCCTGAAGAAGTAGAAGACCTGATTGACGAACAAGACAAGGAAAAGGAGGAGCAAAATGAAGATGAAGATGGTGAAGACAGGGGAAAACAGATGGAAGATATGAGCTTATTAGAGGATGAAGGTCATGACGATGGTGAAAAAGACATACAGTCAAAAAGTGAGAAATATATCAAAGAGACAGGTACATCTAGGATTGTCATGAGGATGACAAAAAGTTTATGTTCTGAAATTGAATTTGGAGGTTTGAGAAAAGTAAAAGAGGAAGAGGTGGGAAATTCAAAAAGGATTGAAAGAGAAAGGCAGAAGAAGGAAATCGTGGACTCAGGCAAAGTTATTGACCACATAATTGATTCAAGTCCTAAAGTGGTGGACGCTGTTAGAATTAAACATGGCTCATTTCCAAATGTCTTGCTTACAAAAGGAATAGATGATGTGCTTGATTTTGGTGCTGGATCAAAGATTCGTTACTTAGGGTAGGATTTTGATTGAGCAACCCATAGTAGGCAACAAATTAACACGGATGCTGTTAGAAGCTTTTGTTTACTTTTAAATGGGACAGCTGCATGAGAGGGAAAATAAAAGTGATGAGTAATTTCAAAGAGGAGAATTTGGAAATAAACATTGTATCAAGTTATCAATAACAAAGGCAGGAGATGTACTTAATAAGGAGCCAAATAAGCATATCGTTTCAGAGACACAATAAACATGAGATTGAAGAAAAGTGTATGAGGAGGAGTTACAACCAACCTAGCATCTCCTTTACAAATTACAATATTGTCTTTTACGTTGTTCTCGTTGTTCTCCTCATTCAGACTGTAAACAAATATTCATACTTTCTGTTTGTGTGAACCTTGAGTTATATTATGCCTTTTGCCAATAAAGTATTACTATAGTCAAAATCTTCCCCATGAACTCATAAATAGGGGTGTCAAACATGGATTCGCTAATCATTTGCTGAACTGAAAATAAACGAGTTCAACCAGATGTATTTTATGGTGAGTCCGAAATTTCACAACATGATTCAATCTATTACGAGTTGATAGATTGACTCATTAATATATATATATATATATATATATATATATATATATATATATTCAATTTTTATTTTATTTGATAATGGACATGACTAAATCACACTAAAACACAATGGTATGATAGTAAGGTAAATATTGTGATACGACTAAAACATGTTAAAGACTATGGTGTAATTGAAGTACGATGACATGGTGGTATGATGAATGCAATGGTAAGCCAAACGCGATGATGCGATAAACGCTATGACGCGACTGAAACTCTATGACGCAGTGGTACGACGATAATTAATGATAAACTTGTGTGAGAGTTTAACTTGTAATAGTGATGTGAAATAAAGGTGAAAAGTTAGAATAATATCAAATATGGTTACTAAATTATTATAATTATTTTTAAAATTTAAAATAAATAATGAATTATGGATCAATTTATCATAATCCAGCTCAAACTCACTTAATATGTGGGTTAAATGAGTCAAATTAATTTTTAACTCATTATCGGTAAAAAATTTTTTTAACCTGATTCAAACTTATGATAAACTAAGTTGGTTCCGGGTTATAATTCATATTCATGACTAAGAAATATAGAAGGTAGAAGTTATTTTGTGATGCCATGCTAAATAGGATCAAAGTGTGGAGGATAATTTTTAATTAATGAATACTGAATAGGTGTAGTAGTAATCATATGGATTTAATCTAATATTGTTTGTTTCCTTTCAATTTTAGCTAGTTTGTTCGTTTTCAAAAGGAATGCCCTACATTTTTGTAAGTCAGGATGGACCCAATGTTTTTGGTTGTACTATCAGATGGTCCACTTCCTTCAAAATTGAATGCTATCGTGATAGATACCAACAAAAATGGCTAATGGTGCAAAAGCTGTGGGCTCACAATCCCTTCCTCTTTGCGTTGAATTTATATATGGATATGGCAGATCATATTAGTTTTGTGCTAGATAATTCAGAAATAATGTGTGAAAGTACATTTTGGAAAGTAACAATGTAAGAGCGCCGTGGTATTCCTTCCTTGTAGAAGAGGAAAATGATAGTAACTCCCCCTGATACCTAATACTATTAGTAAGTGACATTCCATGTTTACTTCAGTGACTTATAACTGGGAGGATTGAAGTGTATTAAAACAAAAATTTCAAAATACTGATATTTCTCTATCAAATCTCTATTTCTTGTCTGCTTTTATTCAAAGTAATAATAACGGAGAGAAACGGTGATCAGGTCATTCTCATTTTTTTTTTAATATAATAATACAGTTATTATCTATAAGTAGTTTATGGATAGTTTAAAACATTTTAATTTTTCATCTGTATTATTAAGAAAGGTGACAAATTGTATAACAGCTTTCGTGTATATATTATATAACTATTTTTATATTTTTTTAATGATAATTTTATATTTAATATTTTGATAATCATTTTTATAACTATTTTTTAAAATTATAGACTCTAATTAGTCTTTTAACTATTTTTAAATATTTTAGTAATTATTTTTGTGATATATTCTATTTGATATAGACTCATGAAATATGTGTTTTCACATTTTATTTTATTTTTTTCACACATTTTTCTTATTATTTTACCATTAAAATTTTAATAATTAATTTTATTATATTATCTATTTTGGGAAAAACAAAGAAAAGAGTGGAAACAAATAATTATATGGTGTGCTATTATGTTCCAAAAATAGTAGAAAAAAAGACAAAATTGAAAAGAGAAAGTGATTATTGTATATAAAAATATAAAATGATATTTTTTTTTATTTATATTAATCATTTACTATTATTATTATTATTATTAAAAATATGGATACACGTAATAGTATTTATAAAATAAATAGATTTGTTATAGCTAAAAAAATAAAAAAAATATTTATATTATGTCATCCATCTTTTCCTTCTTGAACCATGTCTATCTCGTAAAATATCTTGTTACATTGTTTTGACTAATTGGGCACAAATTTATGACAAGTACTGTAGATGAAAGGTAAGCTTGTTTGGCCCAATAATTCTGATTCTGACACTAACATGACTACTAGCTTTACTACTTACAGTACTTCCTAAAGAGAATTTAAACCAACTTTATTTCATGTAATACACACAATAGGGATTGAGACAGGCAAGACAGAATGAAATAACTCTCTACGCAGTTTGATAACATCATCTCAAATACCACAATTGAGGATATTATTATTTTCAAAATATATATAAATGAAGTCGGATTCATTGCCTATGAGCTTTTGAACCATGAGTGACAAGCAAATTACCTTATATAATTGAAGTTCTTGAAGTTTTCAAGTTAGGTAAGCAAAATTCTTCGAGTTTACAAGTTATGTTAGGAAATTTGTCATGTAATTACAATCTCAATCTTTTCTGCAATATAAGAAGGTCGTTAAACAGAAAACATATATGGGTTAGAATTCATCAAAATTCTAAACACCATTAATCAGTGCACAACTGAGCAAAGAATTTAATGATTTGCATTTTAATACCAGGTTAACATGGTAAGCACTGCATCCATGATTTTGTAAACCACAATGCGTAACCGAACTTAGTATCTACATGAAATGTCTATAAATAAAATCTAAGAAAGGAGAGATATCTAAAGCTGTGTCTCTTGTATCCAACACAAGTCCACTACCACCAATCATAATATTGCACCTTTGTCCTGTACCTTTTGCTTGTTAAGAATGTTTCAAGTGGACTTTCGAGTGAGAACTCCATTGCAATAGCATCCATATTATCGAGGTTCCTGTTAATAAACTATTTTAAAACGTATTTCATCCATAAATAATGCCAACATAAAAGGAATAACAAGCCAACAATGTAGTTAAAGAATAATAATGGGCCGAAAGGTACACAGCAGATAGGACATATAATGGGGTACTTGATTCTTTTCCTTTCTTTTTAGTATTTTGACTTGGGGAGAGCAAAAAGAAAGTAGTAAATAATGCATACGACAAGGCAACTGAAATATTCAAGCATGGTCCAAAATTAAGGATAAAAAGTATAAAAAGAAAACCTACAAATTATACACACCTATAATTAAACATGGCTCGCATGATTCTAGAAAAATAATTGGCCAGGACAAAACAAGAAAAAAAAAATACAAGAATTTTGGTTAAGATTCAAGAAAATAATGTAGCCCATTTCAATTTGATAGTACCCGAGAATAAAGTTCCATACCTGCAAATATGCCAACAGTAGTTAGATTCTTAATCTCCATTGTGTGATAAATTATATATTCTGTCAAGAAATGACCCAATGCATAGATGAATGACAAGAAAGTAGTCATATAGAGAGGCTTGTTTTCAAGGTTGAATGCACAGATATAGCAAAGGGTGCAGGTCAACAATGTCCAAGTGCCAAATGTGCGCCCATGAACTTCAGTCACTACAACAATTAATAAACTCATCAATTCTTATAATTTTGAAACTCACATTACGGAATCGTTTAAAATTATAATACAGATAAAGTTAAAACAACTCCGCCAATGCGTAATAAATGTTGTTGAATTTAACCAGCTGTAAAATCTATTCTCATTACAAGAGCAACAAACTATATCATTCTAAAATGACGAAGAGCATTACTTAAAATAAAGATTCAACCAAAGATGAGTGCTTAGTGCTTAGTTTATTTTGATCAATTAGGTCATCTCGTCATAAGCATGTGGTGGTGCTCCATGAAAGAAGGTTAAAGAGATAAAAGGATTCATAGCAATTTAGATGAGTGTTTTGTGCTGGATGTGGAACCAACTTGAAGTAATGTTTATTTAGGGCATGTTTGGTTTAATGTCGGATTAAGGCCAACATGTATTTATGATGCACATCCAAACTGAAACTACTTTGAGTAGCTTCCACTTTTTACATCCGAATGTGAATTTAAGACTTCAAATATAAAATCAAACGTACACGTCTACATCATATTGAGATTTTCTAAGTAAATTTAGTAAAAAAAAAACATGGATTCTAAACACCCGTCAAAACACACTCGTCATACTCCAAAAATTACTTTGATTGTGTAAATTGGCAACAACTAAGGATTTAGGAAAGGATATCATATAGCCTTGGGAAGATGATGTGAACAAATTGCTACACTACATTGTCAAGATCCTTGATTTTCAAAGCTGACTCAGGTTAAACCCGGGCACAAAAAGGTTGTGCAAGAAAAAGGGAAGCAGTTGGCATAATGATAACAGTATTTCATAGGTCAAAGAATTTGAAGTATCTACACATGAATTTCCTATGAATTTTAAAACAATCAAAATATTTATGACTTGCATACTTCATCTCCTCTCAAATTCTAAAACCATCATTTACATTAAAAGACAATCACCAATTTATTTATCCAGAAAACTCAAAACATGTTTCCACTCTTTCTTTCCTAGAAAGTTAAATTTCCTTTGGCTGTAGAATCAAAATTCAACTAGCATACTTGTTTGCTGTTACGAGACAAGTTCAACTCATCCTAAGCTTTCTTTTGACACTCCCTTAGAAAGATTTAGTAGCTGTTTGGTTAACAACTTATTGACAAACCACATTTCTAGTAGGCTTCTAGATAAGATCAGTATCAAGGCTTAATAACATATTTTTCCCATAATTTCCGTGCGATTATAGTCCTACTAATTTAAATTATTCATATTTAGTTCTCATAGTTTTTCAATTAATCAAATTAAGACTATCGTCCCAAATTTTCATCCAATAATTAAGAGAAATGTAACAAGGGTGTAACATATTCGTATAGATTAGTAGAGAAACAGTTCATACAATATTTAAACAAATAAAAAGTATACTAAGTAACATAAGCCGTTTTTAAAATTAAAAAAAATAACGATATATCATATTTTTGGTACATTTCAGTTAATTATTAGATGAAAGTATATTGTTATCAAATTATAAGAACTAAATGTGACCCACCAAAACTAAATATCAAAATTATAATGTTTTATTTTCTTCTCTTTTCATTATGAACCTCTCCCACAATCTACACTCCTTTATGTACCTTGCATCGCCCTCAACAAGTTGTCAGCAACCTCTTTCAAAACTAAACCGATTTTTTAAAAGGGGGAACAACGACATTTCCTTGTGAAAGCTAAAAAAAATGAATAACAATCCGGAGCATTGGGATCCAGAAGATCTCATTGTCATACATTGGATCTAACTCTTCGATTGTCTGCCTCAGAAAACTCATCAAATCTAATGACACAAGCATAGTTGCAGACGCTGAAACAGCTAGTAAGCAAATAGAGTAGCAGAACTCACTACACACTCAACCGACAATATCTACCATTGAAGCGAGTGAAGATCTATTTCCTACTACTAATTGACGTGAGTGAGTGAATGAATCAAATGACCTAAATCTGTGCAACCAATTATGAAAGGAACCTTGTATGTTGATGGAGTAAGATAAGGAAAGAGAAGAGAGATTTAATTACTTGTGGTGTTGGAGAAGACGGCCAGTCGAAGAGCCCAAATGTCGAAGAAACCGAACCACACTGAAGCCAATCGAAGCGTGCCCACCGCTATCAGCCACCATCCCAACGCCTTCATTCTCTTAGCGGAACTCTCTCTGCGCCTCTACACTCTCCTCTGTCGCTTCACTTCCCCAAATCGATGCCGTCTCAAACCCACACCTTGGGATAATTTGCAATATATAAGCGGTGTATTAAACAAACAACAATTCTAATCACTGTTCAACCTTAGAAGATTTAAAATCTTTATAGAAAAAAGTATATAGAATTTCATAAGTTCCAAGTCGCATGTATTTAGTTCTTTCTAATTTTTTAAAACTTAAATTTATCTAATAGTACTCTTATTTTTTAAAATATGTAAAATTAGTTTATTTTTTATTCGAAATTGATTTTTATCATACTCAAATTTAATATTTAAGTAGATTTTTTAAAATAAATTGCAGTTTACCATTGTTGTAATATTAGAAGAAGAAAAAAACAAGAACAAAATTTGAATCTGGCTGAGATTTATGTTTTAAATTTATTTCAAAAAATTTATATCTTTAATTTATTTTATATAATAGCATAAAGTAATTATTGGTAATAGTGAAAATGTCTTCTTCTATTTCATTCCTTCTCAAACTGGTGATTTACATTTTTTTAATTAATTATTATAATAATTAATTAATGTGTGTGTTTGTTTTAAAATTTGACTGAATCCTAAAAGTTTGTTTGTAACTAAAAATTGACTTCGGATCCATATATTGTATATATGGGATTCTATTCCTACTAAAAATAATAAATTTCGATCTCTTTAAATATTTGAAAATAAAAAATGTCAAATAATTAAAATAATTATTGTAATTCGTGTTCGTAATTATTTTGACGATAGCAAAAATAATATATATATATATATATATATATATAATAATAAAATAAATTATTTAAAATGAGGTGGAATAGTTTATCAAAATTTAAAATGTATTAATCAAATAAAAATAATAATGTAGAATATTTAGAATTTAAAAATTAACTAAAATAAAACAATATTACAGTACATTATTCAAAATTAAACATATTTAGAATATGAAAAAGTAAAAATAATAATAATAGTAATAAATAAATTCACCTAGAAAAACATAATTTTATTCTACATGTTCATTCACTTGCTTCCATGAGGTGTTGTTGGCAATGGTACAATAACAATGCTGGTGGGTTCATGCAGAATATTGGATTCCTTATTTCCCTTTGACCCTGTGTTGTGTCCTTGTGACCTACTATTTATAATATTTATTATTATATTTTTTTCCTTGTTATTTATTCTTTTTGTGTACCTTGGATGCACATTTTCGACCATGTTGTTGAGTTAATTTAACGAACCAGGACCAACCATAGCATTATACTACAAATATGTACACATTTTTCATTCTAATAAGTAGTTGTTTCTTACCAAATGCAACTCTCTTTTCTTTCATTTCTAATCATGTTCTTCTGTTGTTATGTCCATAAATAAATACTATTGATTAAGGAGAGAAGGTAATGTAGTATTATGAAAATCTAACATTACTTAATTTAAAAATAAATATACTTTGTATTTACAGAAAATTAAGTGAAACTCCCCAAATTTCAACTATGATAATAAATGAAATTCAGTTATACAGCAAGTGGATCCATGTCCATATTTAATGCTTAGGTAGTTTAACTACTCCTCTCAATCAATCTAAATTCATTCAATAACATTTATAATATAAAATAAACCGTACTTTTTTACAAATAAAACATACTATTTTAATATATATATTTTATACTTATATTTATTTATATAAATATTTATAATATATTTTAATTAATTTTATAAAAATAATTATATTAAAATAATGTATTTGTATTTCTTAAAAAAGTATAGGTCAGTTTTACTAAAATACTGAGATAAAAAATAACATAATTTATATTATTATTATCAGCGTAAAATTATAAGATTTAATACGATGTATATTTATATTTTCTGCATTATTTTTTTTTAATATTTCTTTTCTCTACTCTTCTATTTCACTTTTTTTCTCTGCTCTTATATATATTATACATTCAATAAAAAATAATATATAATAAAAAAAATATTATAAAAATGATTTTTTTTTAATACAGATGTATTAAATAAAGGACTAGCAATGCGAATTTTTTGGCAATTTATGAAGGTAGAGAATGTAGCCAAGCAACATGGTAGATGTGTGTCTCTTTTCATTTAGATCTTTCAATGAATGTAAGAATTCCCTGATTTAGTGTGGAATCAAAACAGAATGAAGAAAAGTGAAAAATTATTTACAATTGAAAGTGGACCACCTAAAATAAGAATAACAGAAGTAATTGTGTTGAGAAACTCTGGAAAACACACAAAAAAAGGTATCTCCAATAATTAGATATATAGAGTTCAGGTAAATTTTAGTTGAAAACAGTTTATTTAAAGAATTGAAAATCAGAGAATAATAATGAAAGTGTTAACCTAAGAGAAGAGCGTGATGATATGGTGAGTGAGTCGTGTGATGAACGCGAGAACAGATATGATTCATGTTGTGGCTGGCTGTTCAGTGAAGTTCTTTAACGATTACTCCAAATCCCTCTTCAGTTTCCAATAAAAGGCTGTTATATGACACACCAGTTGTGGGGACCAATTCGACTCAAACCGCAACCACACACCACACCCTACACTTAGCTCCCAAGAAATTTTCACACCACATCACACACCCACGCTCAACCTAACCTGTAATATTACCAACCCAAACACTGTCAAAACACACACAAGGTTAATTTCTGCTCTTCAACCTCATTCTTGAACACTGTCACCACTAACTAGCACCATTACACATCTACAATACACACACCCTATTATATTCATTTACCCACCACAACCTCGTCTGTCTTTATTAACAATAATGCTTTTTTTTTTCACATAAACAATGCTTTTTAGCTTTGGTTATTATATCTACTGGCAAAGTTTGGTGTCCAAAGAGAGGAGAAAAAAATGGGCATTGGATTGGACCACCCCTTACCCACACACTAGTACACGTCAGTGCACACCACCAAACACAATACTCTGTACCCTACCATTGCGCTGCCCAATCATCTCTGACTCTGCAATTACTTATTTTAAAAATTGTTTACTATAATGCTGCTAGTTTTGTGTAGATTAATTGGCTGGCACTCGTGCAGAGGAGAATCGCATTTTGAATATAAATTGTTGGGAAGTCAAGAGAGAAGCTACAGCTAGCCTTAGGGTGCCCTACCAATTGAATTAATGTTATTAATATTGACAGAATAGGCACGAGAAAGAACAGAAACTCCTCAAAAATCAAATCAAATCATATATGATTATGTGGCTAATATTATTATTATTAGATCCCTTAAAGCACGTCCCAACTGAATTTCAGCCTGCACGCTCTGCACCACTGCCTTACAGCTATCATCCACGATACTTAATTTCACGTTCAAACAAATTTTAAATACAAGACAATGCCCCAAAGTATCACACAATCCTTCTTCCCCCACCACTCAATCTAACACCTTTCATCATTCAACGGAATTTTAAATTCTTTGCCAGGTTTCTTTCTACGCCAACATCTGTTCGCTACCGTTTTCTTTTAATACATTGTACGGGTACATTTTTTATTTATTTATACTTAACGTGGTTCTTATATTGTAAAATATTTATATTAAAATACATCAAAATCAAACACTTTTTAAAATTTGAAAAATTACTTTCATGTTATAAATATGATTTAAACTTTGATTCGTATTACGATAGAAATGTTTTCCAACTAAAATAAACTTACACAATAAAATTCCACTCTATTCATTAAATAGTTATGATTTTTTTTTTCTGTTTTACATCTCATATATTAGTCTCCTAAATAGTCTTTTTTTTTTTTTACCAGATCAATATATCTATTTTTATTCATAGCTATTTATATCATACTGAAATTCAGTATCTTTTCAAAATAAGTAGTCAGTTATTAACAATTTTGACATATTCACTTTTAGCCTTGTTTGAAGTTGATAGATGATTGGAAAGAGTGAAAAAAAAAGTGGAGCTATTTAAATAAATAAAACAAAAAAGGAAATAAATAAATAACATATTTATTTTTTATTATTTTTCACCTATTTATCATAATTATAATTTTTATTTTTTTAAAATACATAATTGATTATTATTATTATATACTGCCTTTCTTCTTCTTTTTCAAAAAAAGGGGATGGATTTAAAAAAAAATCAAAATGTTTGCATGAAATTTCAAATTTTCAATGTATTTCCGTTACAAATCCATGCGCAAGCTTGTAGCCATTGGGGTAATTATATGCAATAGAATATATTAAAAATGTTATGAAAGTTTAAAAGTATTAATTTTGGAGTTATCAAGATCTTATTTTGCCCAAAAAAATTAACATCATTACAAACTTATATAAATATTCGTTATTCATATGGAAAAATAATAAACAAGCCGGGAATAAATAACATTTGCTTGATTTTTAAACTAAAAAATATGGTGAAACATAATAAAATACCTAGCCAAATTATTTATGTTCGGCGTGGTTTTTTTTTTTTTTAATTTAGTTTACCAATTTTTGGATTGAGTTCAGTGACCCTTTATTTTCATTTTTTAAAATTATAACTTCAAGTATTTTGGTTACATTTTTTTAAATATTTTTGAAAATAAGCCGTATTATTTTGTATTAAAACATTGAATATATCAAAAATATATATTTAATCCTTAGAATAATTAAATGATAAGAACAATATCTATTATCATCAATATTAATATAATTTAATAAATCTAGTCGAATTGTGAATTAAGGTGAATTTCGTATTCAAAGACAACCAACCACCTGTGACTATCCGGTTTTCTCTTCTCAACTTCTTATGCGTCCTTTAATGTTATTATGCACATAATAAATTTTCTCATTTTAATATTTTATCTTTTTTATATTAAAAAGTACTATAAATCTTTTTGAAATTTAATAAAACACAAAAAATATAATTGTTAAACAAATTTATATGATCATAAAGTTTTGTATAATAAATAATAAAATTTCAATAATTATAATGAAACTGGAATATAATTTGATTATATACAGGACATACAAGTTTTAATTAAACACTCTAATTCGAAACAACTTGGAAAAGAAGAAAACTGCATGGACTTATCCAATGGGTTTTCAGAGACTACCATATACAGCTTTAAACAGCCGAAAAGAATAAAAGATACACAGAAATTAAAGAAAGAAACAAAACAAAACAACTGCATAAGCATGATGTGCAGCAGGAGAGAGTTCTGCTAAAAAATATATCTTAAGAAGAAAAAAGCTTTTTCTTGATTTCCCATAATTGTTGAAAAAAAAAGGAGAGAAAATCAATGAAAAGCCACACGTGAATACACAGCGCCCACTCTAATACTTACTCTCATCCCTATGTACAGCCTGTAAATTGTTTGTTAGTAGTAAAATGCCTCACTCAAAATGAACAACCCCACTAAAAATTTTAAAAACGACAGGGGCTAAACACCAAACGACAAGCAAAACGCCGGAATCACCCAAACAATTCCACCTGCTGGCACAGCTCCTTCCTCAGCCGTTGAGAGAAAAGCCTGCACGCATCCACGCTCAGATCCACGGCAGCGGCCAACGCCACAAACGCCGCCGCATCCTCCGTGCAGTTCACATGCGGCACACTCACCTCCACCTTAGGCTTGCTGCACTTCCCCTCACCCTCCACACTCGCCGACATCACAAAACCTCTATACATACAGTAAGGCCAGAGGCCATAGTCCCCGCTGCTCCTCGGGCTGCATGCCGGCGATGTCGCACTCCCCGGCGTGGCGCGGCCGTTCGATCCGCCGTTGTTTCCACCGCTGCGGCAGCTCATATCGATGACGAACTTTCCTCCTTTGTATGAGCTCAGCGTGGACTCTGCAAGAACTATGCCGGCGGCGCTCATGCCACCGTTGGTGTCTGGTATCAGCTCGAAGCGGTAGCCGAGGCCGTCGGAGCCGCCACGTTCGCGCCACGCCTCGAGTCTCCCCCATGGCTTCCACGTGCCATCGCTCGGGCGAAGAATGAGCCACGAACCGGGGTTAGAGCAACTGACCCGGTCCGAACCGGGCGAAGCGACGAAAGGCGTGACCATGGAAGCGGCAGCAACAGGCGAACCGGAAAGGTCGTGAACTGTTACGGACCATCCCTTGCGCTCCTTCCCGGGACGCTCGCGCTCACTTCCGAACGAACTCAACCAGCTTCTAGGACCTCCCGGCTCCGACTGTAAGGACCTGAACGGAACAGAATAACCACATCATTAACACGCAGAACACATCGCTCACACACACTCACATAACAAAAACGGTTTTACACACTTGGAAATCCAAATCCCTAAAGTTGACTCCTAAACTACACAACTTCTAAAACGAACTATGCAACAAAATTGAGTAATTCACAAGTAATCCCATTCCAATTCTTATCAATGTAAATTCAGGTTTGGCTTTTCAATTTTCCTTGCCTAAGTAGAGGAAATTATCTAATTTAGCAACTAGTGTAATTTAAACGCTATAAAATTATCGGCTAAAGTAATGGCGTGAAAGTGAGAGAACTAACCTGGAACGGTGATTTCGGTCTCCGGTGTTTCTGAAACTGAACTTGCAGGTGAAGACTGGTTGTGAAATGTTGCCCTGGATCTGGAAAACTTGGGGGCTGCATTCAGGTTCGCCGTCGAACTGGAAGACGAATCTGGGATCGGGTTCGGCTTTTACATTCAAATGAAACTGCGCGGAAGAGCCTTTCGTGTCTTTCCCTATCCTAATCCAGCCATTGTGGAACACTGTGGTCTTCGCTACCGTTCCCCCGAGATCTAAGGGCACGGACACTGTGCCAAGGAGTCTCCCGGAGTTAACGCCGCAGGTGGTGCCTCGCCGGCCGGTGTAAATCGAGATTTTGAGGCAGAGCTTCCCGGCGAAGATGAATTTTCCGGCGAGCTTGTCGAGATCGCACTTGCTGAGATGGAAGGTGGCGGCGATAGGGTGCACCTGGGAGTCGGGGAAGTGGCTCTCGGGAGGGATGAAGGGAACGACGGCGGATTGCAAAGGGAAGTTCTTGAGCTTGATTTTGCAGAAGCAGGGGGAAGAAGAGGGGTGCACGACGGAGCGCGCGGGTTTGGAAGCCACGGGAATTTTAAGGGCGAGGTTACCAACGGTTAGCCTGACGAAAGGGCAAGGATCCATGGTGAAAAATTAGGGTTGGGGAGAGAAAAGAAAAAAGAGATTAATGGTGATGGCAATGCTAATGCAAAGGTGGTATTGGAAGAAAGAAGAGGGGCGGGGAAGATGGATTAGTGAGAGTGTTGTTCATGTGGAATGGAGGGAAGCAGAAAGAGTTGGTATTATGTTTTGGGTAATAACGGAAAAGGAACAAGAGTTTTGTGTGTAGTGTTGTGAAATGAATTAGTTTGCTTAGGGGGAGGTGACATAAAGGGTGAGGAAAAAAAGAGAGGGAGGGTGGGATACAGCTGGGTACAGGGTGTCGTGACTCTAGTGGCTGGGGAACCCAAGTTGGCGGTATCTATTGCTGTTGTGACTCTCTCTCCTGCGCTGCACTTTACTGGGCTCCACCCTCTGTGATATCAGCATACCTCTTGTTACCAGTCACTGCCCATTGGATTCATCCATTTTTATAGTAATATTTTTATATCTATATTACTTTCTTCTTTTTATTTATCTATTTTTAACTCTTTTCAATTCCTCAATTGCCCTTCACTTTCTTATTTCCTGTTGTTGCCTACTGCCTAGGGGTAGAGCAGGTTGAGGCGCACCTGCCACACCACACGTGGAGTTGCTCTACATTATGGCTCCCACACTGTTAGGTACTGCTAAGAATCCTATATCCAATCCCCCTTTTTCACCGTTACAAAATTCACTCTTTTATTTTATTTTTAAATACAAAATTATACCTTTTAATTGGACTTAATGCTTATTATCTTTAACTTCCATTTCTAATCATATCATTTTATAAAATATTCCAAAATAAACATACCACTCACAATAATCTTATTTAACTGTTAGATATAGTAGTAGTACATAGAGAGTAATGACTGTTCAAGGAAAATAATATGTGTATAAACATTATCATATATCTATGGAGAGTTTACTTTTTAGTAGTTTCAATCTTATTAAAACCAGGATTAAGATATTCTACCTTAAGTCGAACATTGGTATCATCTTAAAAACACATTGGAGAAAGATGTAAGATTCCATCAATCTTCAATATGCTAGGCAAAATAGTTTATTAATCACACATATTTTCTTAATTTTTTATCATTAAAAACTAACCCCGTGAAAAGAATTTACATCAACTTATATATAGTATTAAACTATTTGAGTTAGATTTACAATTTTATTATAATAATTCTAAAAAAATTAAGGCTTCTGGGGGTAGTTTAAATTCGTGAAAGAAAAACATTTTTTAAAAACATAAACTCAAATCATTTTTTTTCAATAATCGGTTTGTAAAGAAAAATTTTTAAAAATGGTGTAAGATTGAGAAGAAAAAAAAAGTATATAATCCAATTAAAAAGAGAATTTTTCATCTTTTAGTTTTAAAAAACACACATTAGTTATGGAAAGTTAGATACTTATGTGAATGAAACAGATGACTATTTATTTTAAAAAATCAACTTTTAAGTCGACACTACTAGAAAAATGTCAAATAAGTAACCGAAATCGATGATCGAAAAATTTAGTTACTATCGATGATCGAATCAATAACCAAATTATTATTTTTTAGTCTAATAATCGAAATAGTAACCGAATTTTCGATCACATAAAATCGGTTACTTATTTCGACTCACTTTATTATTTAATTTATTTTTTTAATTAATCTATATTTAATTTATGTAATTATTTTTACAAAAATGGTTAATAGTGACTGAAATTAGTGATTGATTTTTTTATATTTAGTAATCGATTTAGTGACTAAAATTTCGAGTCACTAAAAAAATAATTTTTAAACTGATAACTATTTTTCATTTTATATAAATATTTTATTTAAAATATTTTAAATATAAATTTACTTAATAATTTAAAATAATTGATAACATTTTTAATAACATTATAAATATTTAAAAAAATTGTTTACTAACTTATTAAATAATTTAGTAATATAATTATTTGATTTTATTTTTTAATTTAGCATGTGAATAAAAAAATTAAAATTGATTATTAAATTAGTCACCGAATCGGTCATCGATTCGATCATCGAATCGATCACTAATTCGGTCATCGAATCGGTCACTGATTCGGTCACCGATTCGGTCACTAATTCGGTCACTGAATCGGTCATCGATTCGATCATCGAATCGGTCACTAAATCAATAATTAAATTAATTATTAATTTAGTCTCTTTATATATATATATATATATATATATATATATATATATATATTACTTGTATGTTAATAAAACTGTATTTCAATGTATTTATAAAAAATTAAAATTATTTTAATTACTCGAATTGATATTTTAAATTTATATTAATATCTTGAATAATTTAATAGTTGGATATATATATATATATATATATATATATATATATGTATCACTTTAATTTTTTTAATTAATATTTGAAAATTAAAATGCAAAAAAATATATATATATATATATATATATATATATAAATTTATTTATTTTTTAAAGATGATATATTCAATGTATGTTAAAAAAGTTCAAGCCAAACTGTTTTTATAGAAGATTTTCAAAATTGCTTGGTTTAATTAATCTGTTAAAAGATTCTTTTAATATGTTAAAAGTGCAGTTTTAATCTGTTAAAACTTCTTTTAATCCAAGAATACGTTCTTGATTCTTTAACAGATTTGTTTTAACTGATACTGACAACGTTTATATCATTTAAAACACTTTACAAAAAATCTTCTAAGTTGATTTAATCGATTGTTTCGCGATTCAATCGATTGAAATACTTGCAAAACTTTCTCCTAAAACTTTTCAAGTTATTTTAACTGATAAAAATAAGTTTTAATCGATTAAAACACTGTGCAGAAATTGTTTTAATCGATTGAAATGAGATTTAATCGATTAAAAGTGTTATGATCGGTCATAATTGCATTCTGACCGATCATAATTGAAACCATATAATAGCGGTTCAAGGGTTAACCGCTATCTAAGTGAGCTTTTAAGAGCGGTTCGTGTGTAACCGCTATCTAAACTGTATCTCGCTTGAGCGACAACTTTCCGCTCGAGCGAAACGCCCCTGCACAAAATTAGTACTCTCGAGTTGTATTTCGCTTGAGCGAGTCTAGTCTCGCTCGAGCGATATTTGATTCTGATCGATTATATTTTCGAAATGATCGATCATATTTGATAATTTTTTCAAATAATTAATTATAATCGATTAGTTTTCTAAATTATTGATTAGAATTGATTAGTTTTTCAAATAATAGATTAGAATTGATTAATTTCTGAAATATATACTAAAAAATTATAATTAAAACTATAAATTAGTTAAGAATATTGATTATTGTAAAGATAAAGTACAACATGGGAGGAGATGAGGATGATAATATAATCATAGAACTTACAAAAAGGTAGAATTGAGAAGTTTGAATTACACTTTTAATAAATTTAAGATAATACTAGTTTTGATTTTTATTTTTAAATATTTATTTTAATTATTTAAAATAGAAACTATAATTTTACTTTCTAGCTACTGAATTTAAAGAATTAAATTTATTATTATTTAATCTTTTAATTTTAGTATTAAAATTTTAAATTATATTTTTCTACTTTGAGAATGAACAATATAATTAAACTCAAAATTGACAATATTATAATACATTTTTGAACTCTTTTGGATTAATTTTTTTTCCTAATTTTTTATAAAGTTAATTTTAATATTTAAAAGTATTTAACATTTTGATATAATGAGCATGATAATATAATGATAGAATTTACAAAAATGTAGAATTGAGAATTTTTAAATCTTTTTCTAATATTTATTTTTAAAAATATAATATTATTTTTAAAATTTAATATTTATTTTTTCAAATATATAAATATATAAAGATATAAATGTATAAGGATATAAATAAATATATAAATATATCAAAATATAAATATATAAAAATATAAATATATAAATATAAGTTTCTTGTAAAACTTTTCAAGTTATTTTAACTGATAAAAATAAGTTTTAATCGATTAAAAGGTTGTGCAGAAATTGTTTTAATCGATTGAAATGAGATTTAATCGATTAAAGAGTTCTGATCGGTCATAATTGCATTCTGATCGATCATAATTTAAACCATATAATAGCGGTTCAAGGGTTAACCGCTATCTAAGTGAGCTTTTAAGAGCGGTTCTGTGTAACCGCTATCTAAACTAGTTCTCGCTTGAGCGAGAACGTTCTCGCTCGAGCGAAACGCCCCCTGCACAAAATTAGATCTTGTCGGGTTGTATTTCGCTTGAGCGAGTCTAGTCTCGCTCGAGCGATGTTGCAACCGCTATTAGAAGTAAATATAAACATATAAATATATAAATATATATAAATATGTAAAGATATAAACATATATCTTTAATATTTTGTAAATGTAAATATAATTTATATATATTTTTAAATCTTTTTCTTATATTTATTTTTAAAAATATAATATTATTTTTAAAATTTAATATTTTTTTTCAAATATATAAATATATAAAGATATAAATGTATAAGGATATAAATAAATATATAAATATATAAATATATCAAAATATAAATATATAAAAATATAAATATATAAATATATTAATATATCAATATATCAATATATAAATATATAAATATATATATATATATATATATATATATATATACAAATATATCAATATATCAATATTATCCCCTCATATATTAATATACATTATTAGCATAATTTTAATTTAATTAAAAATTAGAATACAAATATACTATACTATACTAATATACCATTATATTATTTTCATTATATATAAATTACAAAATTAATAATTTGTATATTATACTATACTAATATATTATTTGTATACTATACTAATAGTATAATATACTATATTATAATATTATTTGTATAGAAAACTAATATCTTTATATATAAATATGAAAACATATAAATATATGTAAAAATATGAAGATATAAATACATAAAAATATAAATATATGTAAAAATATAAAGATATAAATATATCAATATATCAATATTTAAATATATATTAAAATATATAAATATATTTTTATTTATAGATTTTATATTTATATATTTATACTGGATATACATTTATTTGTATATAAATATAATTTATTTGTAAGTTATTATTAAAAGATCCTAGTAGCTCAGTGGTTGGAGTTTCAGCCTCCAACTCTAAGGTACCGGGTTCGAATCCTGACAATGACAATAAATCACCAAATAATAAGTTAAACTTCTAAAAAATATAATATAATTAAGAGATAGGAAAAATAAAAACTTAAATAAGCAAAAATATAATATAATTAAGAGATAGGGAAAATAAATAATAGATATAATAAAAATGTAAATAAATAAAAATAATTAAATTTGTTATTATTTTTCATTGATTTAGTGACTGAATCAGTGAC